GTACAGCCTCCGAATTTCGGATCAGAGATCCCTTAAGTATTGAGTTTACAACGTACAATTTCTGTAACTTGGCCGATTTCTGTTTCAATCAACTTTGAGACACGCCGTTTCCTGTCAGAGATAAAATTGTAAGACCCTATATCAGCAAAGTATACCCACGCGGTCTTCCAGCATTTTCCATTGTACACACGAACTTCTCCTCTCCCAACTCCCAATATCCCTCAAACAGCCTATATAGCAGTTAATATATTTTACCCTAACCTAACCTGCACCCTCCTACATATAACGTACCTAATTAATCCTACTGATTTTGAACACATATTTATAATACATAATAATATTGTCATCGTCTAATTTTAGTATAACTAATAAAATAATTTCAACGTTTCCTTAAGAAGCACTTAAATGGTTTATTGAACTGTCAGCCTCATCACCACTGTAAAGTGCGGAGAGCCGACGAGGCATACCTCGACTATCCTCTCATACGACGATGTGCGTTTCTGACATTGTAATTGTTTTGTTGTTACCCAATAAACGATATGAACTGAAGGGAATTGCGTTGGATTCACCTTAAATTAAAAACGCAAATCGTAAGTGTCAGCTATCGGGATCAATTTAGGCTCATAAAAGTAATAACTTATTAGAAACCAAAACTATACGCATATGTATGCTCGTACTGAATATATACATTATCAGGGTTTATTAAAATCAAACTGATTTCATATATAACATTTTATTTCGCTTGTTTGTTGCATATTTGCAGGGTTAATTATGCCTATTTTGTTATCAATACAAATGATTTCGAATAAAAACAATAATTTACAATGGCTATGATAATTAATTTATTGATAAACAATTAATTTAAAATTATCGCGGAAAAATGTTTTATTAACGAAAATAATATTTTTTAATTTATTATGATTAATTTGTTTCTACATGAAAATAAACAATACCGTGATACATAGATTTAAAAACGAATGTGTACTTTTCATTATTTTCTATTGATTTAATACAAATTTGTAAATGCATATTTTGTAAATTGTTATATATTTTGATTTTTTTGCATATTTGCATCAGATTCATCATATTCTTAATACATAATATGTACCCGGTACCGGAATTATATAATTCCGGTATTTACAATTATATTTAATATAATATATCCAACTTTACTATATCTTACTACTCGTATATTAAATTATTATGCTATCAATTTTCAATCTTTAAATATATTTCAGAACTTGCATAATATACGCGATAGGTATCGTCGAGAAATTCGAAACATTGCGGCAAATCCAGCAAACATTATATATTTTTATATAAAATTGCGTTGGAAAATGGTGTTGATATCGGGTTATACAAACGTTCCAAAAATACTGAGTGAGTGTCTTCAAAAAAAAAAAAAACCCTCCACAATATAATATTCATAAACAAATATTATTATTGAATGTTGAACACGGCGTCTCAAATAGGCAAATGTAATGCTCTCCGGTCGTCCGATTTTTCAGGTTGTTTATTTAATGCAATCGATAATACAAAATAACACAATCCATACAGTTTCCGTGTATTATTGTCTAAGCCACTGTGCCAGAAGAAAAATGTATTCATGTGTTGATTTATTTTTAAAAAAATGGTTTGTTTTTTTCATTATAAACCAAAAACTGAAATTGTAAATCTGAATAAAAATCGTTCGACTTGTTTCCAGTAAATTGCTTTTCATTTTTTGGGCTCCTAGTTAAAATGTTCAAAACTATTCTTACCGTATCTCATAAGAAAACAAAATTATAGATTCAATGAAAAACGTAAACACGTGATTTCATGGATGAAAAATATGTACCCGCTACTTATGTATACTTAATAAACGTGAATTATTTAATTATCCGTGTTCACGTGTTTTTGTGTTATTTACGTATTAACGTATTTACAGATATTGTTTTAACTTACTATACAAAATGTATTAAATTTATTATGGATTTTGTATGATTTGAATTTATTTTATTGTTGAATTAAAATTGTTAACAATATTAAGAAATTACACGTGTTCACAGTCACACAGATTATTCAAGTACACGGTTTTACAGATTAAAATGTTAATTTCACGTGAATACGAATAGATTAGAATTTTTCATACTATTTTCCACTGAAAACTCCGATTTCATAAAGGTAAACCCAAACATAATAATGGCCGGCTGAAAACCGAAAACAATTATTCTTAATCGACAAGAAACGATTTTTACGGTCGTGCTGGACACGGTTTTCGGGATTTCTGCTGGTTTTGTTTTTTTTTAATATTAAACGTCACACGTCGCGACTGAGTACGGCTAGGTACCTATCGATCGACTTAATAACAGGAGACTCAGTCGTGCTACACAGTCTCGATGATAGCTTTGAACGTGTGAAATATCGACACACACGCACTTTTTTTTTTTATATTTCCGGAGTGGTTCGCGTCATCTCGTATATAAAAGTGCCGGTACGCTATATTCGTGGTCGAAGGATTACGCGTTAGGGATATACTCGCATATATTCTCTGTTTTTTCAAGTCCGAGACTATAGATAATACCTGCATGTATACGTTGTTTTTATTTTCATTGTTTATCCAACCGCCGCCGTTGTCGTCACTCATCCTTGTATATTTTATTATAATCGGGAAAATAAACCTGAAAACGTTTCCAACACGAAACCCGCTTTCTGTACGCATATACGATAGTGCAATACTATTTGTCGTCCGTGTTTATGTACATACATTGCTGTACACAACGTCATATATGACTATAGATATAAATAAGACATATACATGTATATATGGTCGAACCGAAAAGAAAAATGTACACAATGTTTTGAGTAGGTCGACTATATGGTAGGTAGACGTCTAATATACGTGTATGTATACATTTGAGACAACAAATCAATAGTCGATGACCGAAACGCCAACGTAAAAATATATGCAAGTCGAGTACCTACTTATTACACTCGTATAGATCGAACCGATTACATCCGAAACGGAACGTTCTCCGCGCTGCTTTTATAGGGCATCTACCTACCTAATATACCTGCAATCTATTTGTGTACCACCGGAACACCGGATTAGAGAAGACGCACGACGGCTTGCCGGTAAAATGGAGCAGCACTCCTTTCGGACGTCTACGAATTGGTTCCCTGCAATTACCGAATTGATTCTCGTGTATAGCCAATAGGTAACAAGAGTTGATATAAGAGAGGGGCTAGGGGGCTGAATACCCCCTTAGGTATTACATTCATTTAAGAATTATCAACAATCTTAGCCTGTTAATAACAACGGTTAAACTCGTAAACGGTAGAAATAATGATGTCCTAGCTCTTATCTTTGATCGTTTGGTTTTAAAGGTTCCTGATTTAAATGATAGCTTTATTTGTTTACTTTTGATACATATTTTACAACGATCTGGTAAACCCCTCTGTTAATTTCATTCCATCAACCATATGTTTTTCAATTTGTTCGATTAAATATTATTCGGGTGTCCCATTTTCTCAAACGTTTATGCCATAACTCACCATCCTCGGATTTAGAACAAGATTGAACAACAACGTCTTTCTTCAAGGTTAATGCTATTTCATTCAATTGTTTCTTACACTTTGTCTTAGTCTTAGCTTCTGCATTTATATTTTTAGTCAGTTTTCTTATATTTTTCGAACTGACAATAAATTATAACGAAGAGCAATATAGAAGCCATAAATTGAGCTATTTTTTGATTAATTATGGTTTGAAATTCTCCTACGGCCAATTTTTCCAATGACTTCAAGCCGCTATAAAATCGAGATCAGCGAAACTTCGGGTCATCAGGAAGAAGGTCATCTCAACCCAGATGTTGGCTCCATATAATATATAATATACGTATATTTATCAGTTTTCAGCCATCTTTACAAATCGAATACGAATTACGATATAATTTTTCCGATGGTTTTTCAAAATACACAAATGTTCAACCAGAAACCACCTCTGATGTTGATGATCGGAAAATTTCTGGTAAAAAAGTTGTTCATATAGACAGAAAAATAATAAATCACACATCATTTCTTTTAACCTTAATATAATTTTTTGTTGTTAGTTCCTTTTCCTAGAAAAAAAAAAAAACTAATATTTTAATTTTAGTACAGGTTGTTTCGTAAAAATAATTTTTGTTTTTTAAAACGTACTTAGTAGAACAAGTTGTTACATATTATGTTGAATCTTACCTATACTAAAACAGCCGCTTTATAGTCCTTTTTACTTTCTCTCTTATTAACTTCATCTGTTCAGTCAAAAGCCTTCTCTCTTATTAACTTCAATGTGTGTTAGTCAATAGTCAACTTAGACATGTTGAAACGTGGGAATCTCGCCTTTTCGTATACCTACTCTCGGTATAAGATTTGATACGGAGAAAAATTATTTCGCGAACAAAATGTAAATTTATGACTGCCATTATGAAATGATCTCATCGTAACCTCACACGCGCATATAAAGTTTACAAAATGTTAAAAGTATGCAGAAACACGAAAATAGTATAATATGTCTGTGCGGATGTATAAATGTACATACGTGTCGTCATTTGTTGAACCTCTCAAACGTTTACAAAAAATAAAAATATAGAAAGCGAAGCATTTCGTCGTTTTCAAAGAGCAAAATTCAACCGCGAGGACAATTAATTAATCAAATATCATTTGCTACCATTATTATAAATAATTGTGTTTTTTTTATTTCCAACCATGCACGGGTTGTCGATTAAATTATACTAGCTCCAGTCGACAACTTCATATTCTACTTCTTATTTTAGCGTTTTGAATGTAGGTAAAAGTCACGTCAGTCACGATGTATGAAGCAGGACTTCAAAACATTTTTAAAACGTTATGATTACAACGATAAACGTTAAACGATTCAAAAACCAATAACGGATAACACAACAGTAAACGCTAAACAATTAAAACGCATAATGAATAACGTAACAGAAAACAATAAACGATTGAGACTTAGCAGACAACAAACGAAAATGTTCATAACTAGTCGTCACATTCTTCCGAGCGTTTGGCTCGAGCAGTTTCGTCAGTAGTCTTTAATCTTCTAAACTGATTTGAACTGTTTTGAAGGCATACATCATCATATCATATCATCGCCTAATTACGACGGTTTAAGATAGATAATCTAAAATAGTAGGATCAAGATAGTCTGAATTTTTGACCACAAGTGGTTTTAACGTACCTAATTCACTTTAGGATCTTGTACTGAGTATTTTTATTTTTCTCTACCCAATCAATAGTAAATTTGTTGTATACCAATCTTATTGATAATACTTTTAAATCTTTATTGTTTTGATTCGTTGAACCTTCCATAGGTACATTTTTTCTAAAGAAATTCTAACAATTTTGTTTTGTTGAAGTTGTAAAAGTTTTAGAGAATTTTCTGATAATCCACCTCATACTGAACATTGTTATGAGGATAAATATATTATATTATGTGTTATATTTAAATGCGAAATATTTTAAAGTTTATTGAATTTATGAATCGTTCAACGTTGCCGCAAAACTATATTATTTAAATGTAATTATATTTATCACATATAATTTTCCTTTTTTTACCCAATACTTCATTTATTTTAACTAGCTACTTTTTGTCTATCTGTAAGATAAATTACTTGTCCATTTCAGATTAGCTGCTTTGATCCAAAAATTAGGTAGTTTTAATTTAATTAGTTATGGTTGACTGTATCAAATGCCTTAGCAGTTAGCTAGGCTTGCCATTGTCAAGAACATTATATATATATATATATATATATATATATATATATATATATACACTTTGTGGCGCTATAAAATGCATTATCAATCTCTAAGCCTGGTCTGAAACCAAACTGGTTTTTCGACAAAAGTTTGTTTTTCTTTTAAATATTTAATCTTTTAAATATTGTATTAGTCAAATTTTAATGACATTTTTTTTTTTTTAATTTTTTAGTTGCTTTATATTGAAATAATTTCAAATAATTATAGATCAATTATCGGTCTATAATTATTTATGTATTTATAACTACCATCTATGTAAAAAGGAGTTATTACTGTAGTTTTAAATTTATCAGAAAAAGTACATTTACCGATAGTTAAATTATATAAATATATCCGATTAATTTTACAATTAATCGTTTTTAACAAAAATATCAAATAACTATTGACCCTTCTATCAGCAGTCAAGGGTAAGCAGAACAAAAGAGTAATCATGTGGGTGACAATTTATTTTTCAATACTAATGCATAAAACTTGAGGATTTTCTGCTTGACACTGCTCAAGCTGACACTTATCATAGTTAAAGGATCCCAAACAACTATACAATATTCAAAAATAGAAATCATTTAATAGAAGCAAATAATTTAAAATCAACGAAACACGTTTAAGTGCTTTACAAAACATACTTTCAACGTGTAAACGAAAACACAATTACTATCAAAACTAGTCATATAACTATCCAAGGATCATCCAAGACTGCCCTGACCAAACTTCTTTGTGATAACTTCTATCCTAAAGCTCATATCACTCTGGCCAATCTGTTCGGAATGAAAAATGTTGAGGTATACAAAGTGTAATTCAAAACATCTGAAGAAGATAATTACTCAAAACTGAAGAATAGTTATTATAAAGGTATATCGAAAGATAGGGAGAAGCCTTATCTTATCTTAGACCCCACAATTCAATCTCAACCAATGATAATCTACAAGACATCAATGAGCATGAAGAAAAAAGAACTATATGCCGTGCACTTCCAGTCAGACCCATCTCTATCGGCATGCACAAAACCACACCATATCACTACTGGACTTCTTCGAGATTCATATTCTACTGTCAAAAAATCTTATGAAAACATGTCAGTCTGCGTTGCAAGACACATTACATAATATTTATTATATTATAATTATATATTAAATATATTATATTATAATAAATTTCCACTTAAATTTTTAAATATAATAATCGTTATTACTGTACTAGCATCAATTTATTAACCTTAATTTTAATTTACATAATTATTTTTTTGTTATTTTTTTTATAACTTAAAACCAATTTCTATAGATAATGTACAACTAAATGTATTAACTAATACCAACTGTAACAAAAGGCAACACACAAAATGAGCAGTTCATTTTTTTTTTTTAAAGTTGTATATATATATAAAAAGCCTATATAATTTGGCTGTTTTTTATTTAAATATATTATAATAATAAATAATCTATAGATCGATAAATTTACTGCTAAACAATAAACATCTACCATTCAATTATGTACCTTATTATCCTCACTAACTAGATCATCTTGTCCATTGCTTATCTCGGGTGTATACCACAATAATATTGGACACAGGTATTCATCTAGTGACAATAATAATTATTGAATAACATTTCAATATAAGTTGTCTACTTAGCACAAACTATGTAGGTTTGACATATGATTTTCTCTCAAAAAAATTATAATATATTATTTATGATAAATATTTCACACAATGGAGTATGTGTTTACACAATATTTCATAATTATTATACATATATAAATAAAAAAACATATTATAACTTTCATATAGTAAAATATAATAATAATAACTACAAGATAAATATTACTACACACGTGTAGGATTTTTATGTGTAATCTATCTAACCAAGCCAAATGATCAATAATAATAATTGATTATTATAAATACAATAATAATAATAATATTAATATAATTCCTTACAGGCCAAAATCACATAAAATAATTCACAATATTTAATAGAATTTATTAAATAAATAATAATTATTCAATTAACTTTTATTACGAAGAATATAAGGTTCTTGTTTTGTAAGAGTAAATGAAATGAAACAGAATAAGTGTATAAAAATAGTATATATTTTATTATTGTAATAACCATGTAGATTAAAATAGAAACCGCCCATAAATCAAAAACCTACAACAATTAATCTATTTTGCGTGATTGTGAAAAAATATATAATATATCTTATATAATAAAACCAAATTGTATTATAATATTCAACAAGGTTTAAGAATATTATGATATTATTTAATTATAATGAAAAATATTTACAAGAGCAATAATTATTAATGTACTTATGGTTTTCTCTCAAATAGTAATGATAACAAAACACAGTGTGTAAATAACAAAATGAAAGTTACTCAGTTGACTCGAGAGATGAAATATACAAAATAAAATAAAAACATTACACGTTGACTAAAGGTAAGAAACACATAAGGAAGTATTTTAGGCATACATTTCTGTGCTCTTAGTTTATCTACTATAATATGTTAGACACAACAAAAAAAAAACAATAAATTTATGAGCGATTTCTCATTTACAGTATTTTAAACATGATGGTAATTATCTCCATATTGACTAATAATTGTAAGATATATATATCATTGAAATCATGCAATACACAAAATCACATTTTTTTTTTTTATTTTTTTTTTTACTTTAAATATTTGCAAGATTCAAGAGCACTTACGAAAAACAATACAATTATACAAATCAATCAGTGGAATGTGAACACCAGACGTGTTTTGTTGTAGTTTTAATCATTCTTCTTATTTTCCGCTTCTTTATAAGGCGGGGGAAGTTCCTGAACATGAAAAAACAAAAATTCACATTTAGTATAGTTAAATTTATTAGATATACAAGCTAAATGTTAAATTAATAATTTGTAAATTAGTATATAATATCATTATTACAATATTAGTTTAACATTTATAACAATTGGTTTCTAATAGGTTTGAATACATTTATTTAACATTGAGATTATTGAAATTGATTAATATTAATTTTATAGCCTAAAGTAAAATTATATTAAAAAATTATATAATATACTATTTCATAATAGTACATTAACATAAAAAAATTTTCAGACAAACATTTGTCTGAAAATTCTATTCAACTATACATTCTTACTCCCAGTATATTTTATGTAAATATTGTTAATTATTTCTTAAAAAAATAAATATAAATATATTCATCCATTCATATTTCACGGTTTTTCAATATTTAATATGAAAAATATTATTTATTTTTTTTATTATAACTTTTTGAAGTTTAAGACCAGTACATTTTAAATTGGAGAACAATAATTAATGTTTAAAGTTCGAAGAAAATTACAAACTGTTTTTTTTTTATGTATAATTTAAGAAACTGTTATTTTCTAAAATAGCAGAAAAACATTTCATAATACAAAGCTATTTAAACAAGTTTAGTTTTAAAAAATGTTACTTATCACATGCATTAAACCAAAACCACAAATTTAATTAATATGGTTTTCGTAATAATTAAATAAATGCAACTTCTAAAAACATTAAAACACCTAGATTTTAAAAATAGTTTGAAACGAAGGAATTAGATAAATTATGTATTTATCTTATTTCAAGATAATAAAAATGTTTTAAAAATAATAAATATAAATAACTAAATTATTTAATATCAGTGATGGCTTATGGGTTGATAACAATTAACTAATAGATCGCGAACAATTGTAATGTCACAATCTCTTCTTGTTTTCACAATTTATTTTTAAATAATTTGTAAATAAATCACGGTTACCAATAATGTTTATCAAAAACTCAATTTTATATTAAATTTATAATATATTTACAATACAATATGAAAAAAAAATTTAAATATTAAATTACTTTTTTTAGATTCTTAGCAGAGCAAGGAATTTATTGGTTCTACAATGATATTTATTTTTTTTTTTCTATGAAAAACTTTTCTAGCAAAAATGTTGCTCTAAATTTCATGGGTAGCACTATTCCTGAAAGTAAATTTAACAGGGGTGGTATTTTGAGTTTTTTTTAATTTTCTCAGAGGACTTCATAATAAATGAGATAAATGAGTATTATTTTCAAATCGTAAATATTATGGCCTTTTAAAAAATGTATAATTAAACTCCGCTCAGAATAGTTTTTTGTTAACAAAGAATAATTGTTGCGTACAGATATTTATTAAATTTCCTAACTTCTCACCTACAGCAGTAGCCAAACCCATCATACAAAGTATGTCCACATATTTCTTTATTTTTCTTCTTGATATTTAATCAGAATATCTAATAAAGAAATATCATAACATTTAAAATTAATTTTATGGTTTTAAATCAAGTACCTAGATAAACATTTTTTTTTTTTTTTTATTACTTCACATTGATTAATGTGATAAACAGGTAATTTAAGATAATAACTTTTAACTACCCTGTAATCTAGGATTACATCTCCAAAAGTATAAATTTATGTAGTTTATTTACATTGACTACCCCAAATTTTAAAGTAATTTTTGGTTGCCATATTTTTCAAATTGGACAATTATATTAAATAATATTAATCAACAATAATTATATTTGAAAGTTTCTATCTGCGAGATAATATTATAGTTTATTCGACTTTGTGTGTACATAATGTTTGACAATAAACTCATTTTAATATTTCATTAACAAATTTGTATTCTAAAATTAAAAATGTGTTTAGAAAAAAATAGGCAATAGATTTATATGTTATAAATATTTACAAAACATAAACTTTTTTTAAGCAAAACTAAACAAAACTTACATAATATGATGGTGGTGGAACATAAGCCATTTGTGGTCGATTTGGATCAAAGTATGCACTTTGTGCTGCTTCTGCTGCTTTAACATCTGTAAATATTATGCATCTGTTACTTTAAAATTTAAAAATTTTAGATTATAACTTGGTTTTACAATGTTTATTTTATTTTATATACATATATGGTGATCAATATATTGGAAGACTCGTAATCTTTCTGAGATAACAAATCTTACTTCAATCAAAAATTCTATAACAACTTTCTTGTAACATTTTTTATCTTCTTTGTGCATTAAGATTGTAAATTAGAAATGTAGTCAGATTTATGGCACTCGTGTGCTATTTTGATTGGTCTCCGATAAATATCAATTATTGACAACATTTTAATTTATAGAACTGCCAGAATTTATACTAGGTGATTCATTTAAATGGATACACTCATTATCTTGGAAAGTATTTACTTTTACGGACATTTTTTTAAAGAATATTTCAAAACAAGTTGCTCTACAATTTAATATTTATGTTACTTTTTGTCACCCTTATTTTTTGGGGTAAAACCACTTTCTACTTTTGATTTTCAAATGGCAACTTATATTAAAAATTCAATACATAGACGAAATATTAGTTGAAATAAATTTTTAGTGTTGACATTTTTGATTTCCGTCAATCTGTTGACGAGTTTTTTCACTTTTAAGTATGGGTTGGGGGAGATTGGTAGTCCGCATTATTGACAAGCCGCGCACTGTACCTTCACACAAATAATACTCCACTCTTCCACTACTCTTCTCCAACCTTAAGTTAAAAGTGGAATATCTGGTTAATAAACTGATAGAAATCAAACATTTGAACACTAACATTTATTTTAATTAATAGTCCATCTATTTAAAGAATTTTTAATATAGATTGCCATTTGAAAAATAAAAGTAGGTAGTAGTTGATTTTACCCCTAAAAATAACATGAATATACAATTTTAGAGCAGCTTGTTTCATTAATATTCTGGAAAATTAATTTCGGAAAAATTTAATGCTTTCCAACATAATGAGTGTCTTATGATCAGATTGATCACCCTGTATATATGTATTATGTACAAATTTTCCTAGAAATCTTGCTCCAATTTAAACATTGCAAAAGACCTTTTTTGTTGCATTTTAGCTCTAGTTGGTAATTTAAAAAGTTCATTCTTTGAAATTCTTATTAATATTTGAGATAATAAAGAAAAATACATTCTCTAGGTTAAAAAAGATTAAAAATAAGGTTGTCATTAACAACCGTTTTTATTATTATTTTAAATTTTTAAATCTTTTTTAAACAATCATTGTTGTGAAAACGCACATTGTTTAAAAAGCAATACTATTGACTGAGCTCCATTCAGTAGTTTTTCATTAGCAATAACAAATTTCTACAAACAGATAAAAATAAAATTCCTTTCAATATCCTACCTTCCCAATTTTTATCGTATAACAGGAGCCCACCAGTGGTATAATATATGACTGTCCATAACAATATTATTTTATCATTGATTTAACATTAATAGTATTTGATAAATCAAGCAATTTATATTAAAAAAAATAAGGATATACTTTGCACATGGGTGCAGTTGTAGGTGGGAAGTTGGGAAGGTAGAATACAGAAGGGAATTAATTGTATATATGTAAGCAATGACAAATCATTGCTAACGAAAAAATGATTCTGAGCGAAGTTTAATTGATAGTGTTGCTTTATGAACAATATACATGTCATTATGATAACAAGAATGTGCGTTTCCATGATAGCAATGATTGTTTAAAAAATATTAAAATAATAAAAAATAAACATTTTTAATCTTTCAATCTTTTTTGAACCTAAAGAACCATGTTTCCTCGTTATCTTAAATATTAATGAGAATTACAAAAAAAAAACCTCTCTAAAGTACCACCCAGAAATCTTTCAGGAAAGGTGCTACACTTAATAATTGGAGTAAACTTTCTGGTAGAAAAAGTGATCAGTTAAAAAAAAATGTTAAAAAATAAAAATCATTGTAAAACCAATACAGTCCTCAACTCAGAATATAAAAAAAAGGCTGATAGTCTGATAAACTGATAGTCGCCATCTATAATATATTTTCTTGTTGGTGAAATTGCATGTATGATGTAGGTGCTCAATATATGATATCAATGAAATTGATACTTTATCATCAATACAATGTGTCCTACTATGTTAAAAGGATTTTTCTGGATCTATGAATATTAAATATTTTTAAATTTTAAAATTTCAATCGATTTGTCTTCAAGGGGGAAATCAATTCGGAAAATAAATTTAATTTTTATGTTAATCCCCTAAACATAAAAAAAAATAACTTTATTCACTTACAAAATTTTCAAAATCACCATTTTATAAAAGATATTAATCTAAAAATTTTAATGTATCATACAATAATGTCTGATAAATAATTTCTTAGTAATAATAGCCATTTAAATTTTTAGAAAATAAGTGTGAAAACAATTAATATTCAATAAACCACTGTTGCGATAAGGAATTACCGTGCAGCAATTGTGATTATTATTCACTTACTAATTTGAAAATTTTATAAAGTGAATAAATAAAGTTTTTTGTGTTTAGGGGATGAAAATAAAAATGTAATTATTTTCCAAATCAATATCCTCCTCGAAGACCGATTGAAAAATAGCTAATATTAATAGATTTATAAAAATCTGTCGAATATACATGGTGGGACACATTGTTTACCAAGTGATCCATTTAAGGGTACACCTATTATCTCGAAAAATATTAACTTCTTTAAGAATTTGTTTTCGTGAATATTTAAGGAAAATTTGTATTATTAACATGCCACACAAATACAAATAATTCTCCACTACTCTCCTTCAACCCAAATTTAAAAGTGAAATATCTCGTCAAAGAATTGATGGAAATCTAAAATTTCAACACTAAAATTTATTTTAACTAATACTCCATTTATTTATGTTATTCTATATAGTTTACTATTTTAAAATAAAAATTAAGAAGTGATTTTAAATAAACGTGATAAAAATACAATAAATATAAAATTGTAGTGTAGCTTGTTTCTTTTATGTTCTAGAACCAAATTCCGGAAAAAGTTAATACTTTCAGATAATGAGTGTACCCACTTAAATGGGTCACATGGTATATGTTATATTCTAGTTTGAAAATAAAAAATAAAATGACACATTAATATTATCTATTAGTTTAAAACTTTCATATTCAACAGTTTGATGAAAACTTCAATACTATATAACAGTAACGTATTCAGTAAAGATTAGGAAGTTACAAACCAGATATATTTACCCAATAATGTTGTTTTGTATTTATTATAGATTTTTTTTCTAATTCAGTTTAAAATAATTGTACATAAACGCAATTTTCACATAAAACTTTTACCTACTTTAATTGCAGTAAAATATTTTCTATTTCCAAGCAATTAAATCATTTCAAATTTTCTATTATTTTTTTTTAAGTTTTATGTGGATAAGATTGTTTTGGCTTCTCAAAACGATTAACAATTTGATACAATGTTTTTACATTACCATGAAGTTTGAAGTTTAAAATTTAATAAATTAAAAATCAGGAAACGTATCTTATTATTTCACAAAAATACAATAAACCATATTCAAAATCGTTTATAATACCTTGTCCATTAAATTGTTGTGGGGGTGGAGCTGTTTGTGCAGGTGGAGCACTTGCATAACCAGGATTACCTGCAAAACCAATAATTCCTGGATACGGAGGAGGTACATCTGTTCTATACACAGATTGAGCTAAACAAAAAACACAATATCAGTTAGGTTATTTCATTTTTCTACTTAAACTAACTTATCTCTACTTCTTTAAAATAAAATATGTTTAAAACAAAATTATGAGAACAAATGAATATTTAAATTCTAACAGGTATCTAACTAAATAAATTATACTGTTTGAGAAAAAAAATGTATATAAATTTTTACAAGGTGGTGCATCTGGGAAAGCCGCAGTAGAAGGCATCCATCCATAATATCCAGGAGGAGGTACTCCATATGGAACATCGGCCATATAATATGGACCTTCAGGTGGAGCGTACGGTGGAGGATTGTCCATTTGAGGGTAGTTACTGTTAGCTAAACAAAAATAATCAACAACATTTACTAAAGTACTCATATTAAGTTTATACAGATACATTTATATAAAACAAACATACTCATTGATGCTGCCCTTAACATAGCTGTTCCAAAATCGATAGCGCCTCCTTTCTTGAAAATTAATTTAAATTTTGCTTCACCTACCCAATTTCCGTTGGGTTGTGCACGCACTTTTCCTTTAATATAATTTGAACCGAATACAGGTTGTTCCAATTCCACCTGATTTTTTACAGACAACACATAGGTATTTAAGACTCAAAAAGATAGAATTAAATAATTGAAATTATTACATCTTTGATGGTGATAAAGGGCATACTAAATGATAACAGCTCATCTTTGTCGGATTTGTTGATAAAAATTAAACGATGAGTGGTTAAAAACAGTTTTCCCACTTTTGAACCATGAAATGCTCTGCCATCTTGTCCATGAAAGTCAATTGTTACAGCATCAGTAAACAAAATTATACTAAAAAATGAAGTACACAAAATTTAGAATTTCATTAAGTTAATACTTAGTGTTTTAATTTAAGACAAGTAGGTAACTAACTAAAACTATGGAATAAAATAAAAATACCTTATTAGGTAGGTAAATCTTTATATTTGTCAATGTCAAGATATTATAAAATCTTTATATACATCAGTTAACTTACTACTAACAACTAATCTAAAATTATAATTGTTATGTCATTAAACTAGGCCACTTAGAATGAAAATACAACCAAATTAAAAATGTTTTTCGAATATGATAGAAATGTGAAAATATTGAGTAGGTATGTATGATGCAAAGTTGGCTTAGATTTATTTTTCTTTCTAATTTTCTATTATAATTAAACATACCTAACTAAATTACTTGAGATTGATGAAAAGACCCCTAAAAAGACTGAACATTTTTTGCACGATAGGTGAATCACTGTTGTAGGCGAGAAATTGAGAAGGTAGAATATATAGGGGAATTTAATATATATATCTGAATACGAGGATTAATCATTACTAACAAAAAACAATTCTAAGCAGAGTTTGGTCAAAGTCTATAATATTTATGATATTTGTAAAAATATGATATTAAAATTCTTATAAAAAATATTCTACATTTTGTACACACAATTTTTCTTTTGACCACACAGTATGACTTATAATGAACCTCCTGTTATACTTTCAAACACTTCTGGTTGTTTTAATGTTTCCGACAGTTTTATCCACAGAGTACCTACTGAATGAAAACGACATAAAAAAAACTCAAAATTAAAATGTCTATAAATAGTTCAAAAATTGCTAAAGTTTTAAAAATGTTACCATAACTCGAAAAGGGAATTATAAGGTTTCTGTTGAAATTTCAAATTTTATATAAATGACAACCCAAAAGTACCACACAACTAACATTCCCTTTCAGAAAAGGTACTACACTTGAAAATCGGAGGAAGATTTCTGGCGGAAAAGTTGTTCAAATTGAAAAAAAAAATAATAGTTAACTATCATTGTAGAATCAATACATTCCTCGCTTCGCTCACAATCTAAAAATGTATTGAAGTTCAGTTAATATGTTAACGGCCATATTATTAGAACTTCAATGGTTTCATAAAATTGCATCATTGTTATGATAATCAAACATTTTTTTGGGTATCTAATATTCGCCTATAGAACATTCTAGAACATTATCAATAACAAGCATACCAATTATGGTTTTTTTTTTCCTGGTATCCAAACACAACAAACTCCAATTTGTTCCATACAAAGTACATGATTACAGAACGTTGATTTTGTACTCGATTGATTAGATAAGGAAAAGAGTAATAAGGTAAACGGATGAATAAAAAAAAAACCAACGCTAAGTACTGACTCGAAAGGCTTGACCAGGTGTTGGCAGAACAACTAATCGTTTTTGGACACGGTCCAGCACACGGGACGAGCCTTCTAAATGTGTACACACATCGTGCTGGCATCAACGTACGGATGGAACCGTTTAATTTATCCAAAAATAAAAATCAAAGTTTTTCATTTTAAGTAAAATCGAACGACTTTGAGTGGGTACCATACCGAACGCATTGTAACAATAATAACAATTATAATAAACGGGAGGCCGGAAGTTTCGGGGCGACGTGTATACGACTGCCGGAAACCCCGAAATTACGCACAATAGGAAAATCGCAACTGCAATTGCAACGCAGCAGCGGCGAAGCATCAACAAAAACAACTGTAGTAACAATTAATAATAATAATACGTAACTACGGTGACTCACCATTCGCCTGCGTGTATCAGGCAACCACCGCCTTGTACGTGCGCCGTGTTCAGCGACATATTGACGTACGTTCAGGACGTTGAATCGGCGGGACGACGGAATACTCGGTGCGGACGGAGATTACTAAGCGTGTGACACGGACACCGACGTAAGAACGGAGAGAAACTTTTTGGATACTGACAATATTATTGCGTCACACGAAGCAACAGTACACACGAAACGCAAAAAAAAAAAAAACGAAACGAAAACAAAACAGCAATTGTCCGTTCACGGTCGACGTAATTAAACGACGGTCCCTCGGGTGGCTCGAGATAATAATATTGTTGTTGGTTATTGTAGGCGTATTACGGGCACGACAAAATAATAACAATAATAATATATCAAAACGATAATAATACTAACAGACTCGCGATTGTTATTAAAATGTCAATATTTCGAACGCGATCGCACAAAAATATACACAAGCTCTGCCGATGTTATCAAAACGAAAACGATCGGGTGTGGAGGCGCACGAATCGCGAATGTTCGAATCGACAAGCCGCAGCGGCCGCACACTCTCGCGGCGCTCTTGAAAAAACAGCTGATTGCGCTATACCGTGCCGTAGAGCTACCGTACGCTCGACATCATCCGAAGGTCGCGTTGTTCGAATCGATCGCCGACCACTTCCACTCCTAGCGTTCCCGTTCGCCGTCGACCGACGCCGCAGAATTTGCGCGCCAATCGGCCTCTGCTCGTACCACGGGAGCACGAGTCTACTTGTACGCAAGTCCACGAGCTCAATATAGGGGCGCTGCGCCGGACATTACCTATACATATTATAATATACAAACAACAATAACAACGCTGATAGCATAGATCGGATAACCGATTGCGTGCGTGACGCGTAAAGTCGTGCTACTCTCTGAATATAATAGGTAACAATATTATAATATACCACCGGCTCCTTGTGCGCCGTTCGCGTCGTACTACTACGGGCCCCCGGCATGGATGAGAACCTGAGCAGGGGCTACGTGGCCCTGGGAATACGCGGCGACGTCTGTCCGTTGGCTACGCCTCCTACCGACCGCCTTGGCTTGGTTTACGCCGTAATGTTGCTGGCGGGAGCCGGATTTCTGTTCCCGTACAACAGGTATAAATAGGTACACGTCGGTACCTACCAAAAGGGTGCATTCGGGATTGATTTTTTCGGGGGACAATTTCCATTTGGTTGGAATAGTTTATACAAACATAGATCATTTTTAAACCTAATTTGGGGCTCAATTCCCGTATACCCTCCTTCTTGTGTGTGCCTCCCTAAAGCCTATAAGGCTCTCGAAATTATTCATTGTATCGTAATGGTTTTAGTTATTTACTTACCTTTGGGTGTAGGTGTGATAATTTTATACCTAACCTTTTTTTCTATATTCGTCCACTTAATCGTGTTTTATCAAAACCATCACCTTCAAAGTTTCTTTGTCATATCTATAATGTCTTTACATAACACCAAGATACCTATATACTTTATCATTAATTTCCATTTATCTACTTTTAACCTAAAGTAGTTGCGTTTACACAATCGACAACGTAAGTCTTAGTCTTCAGGAGAGGGGTAGGAGATACCTATCTAAAATCCACCACAGCAAGATGTCATACCTACCTAATCTTTTTTTTTCCTTTTTACACACGCCTATCCGTGATAATTTTTGGATTGCAAAACCGTCAGAAGCAAATTATTCAATATATAATAATTGTGTAAATATTAATTTTCCATTTAAATTGTTTTGTTTGATGTGCAGCAAATACCATAATAGTACAAAATGTCAAAAAGTCAAAATATCAGATTATCTCATACAGACCTAGGTAGCAATAAAATGTAGGACCCTTTCATAGTATCGAACCATATAAATTATGCTACCCCCTCCCCTCCCTAAATATCAATATTACACTTATTTCACCATGATAAAGATTCTATGTTTTCTACACATTCGAAATTTGTAATATATATTTCAATATTAAAATCTATCAATTGATAAAGAGAACAGTGGATCTTTATTTTAGCAAAATATGTTTTTTTTTTTTTTTTTTTTACGAATATTTACCCTACATTCCTAGATTATTTGAACAAAAAAAAATTGTTTATTTTCATCAGGTGACAGGCATAGAAAACATGAATTTTAGAGGTTTTTCTTCATGTCGAAACCGCATCTATGTTTTATAATGTCCACAATTTTTAGCTTTTGAATATGAATATCAAAGGAAGTTGTCAGCCAATCAAACTTGTATGTTTGTTTTTTGCCCTGTGCATTACAACAATCATTATAATTATTGGAATACGTGGATGATTGTAAAAACCCTTATTCTCCGAACTAAAATAATTATTATCAAAAATGGTAAACAATTTCAGTAAATTTATTTAGTTAAAGTTCAAAAATTATGACCTTACTTGACGTCATATTATGATGTACTCATCACCTTTATAAGGGTCCATTATAGAACAATTAGGTACACTTAATCAATTGCATAAACGCCACAAACCTTTCCGTTATACAATACAGTATAACCAGTGCTCGAATTGATAAAATAAAAGAATAGGGACTACAACACATAAAAAAAAATTAGCGTCTCTTGCAATTATCGGAATCAATGTGGGGCTTAGCCCTCCATAAATCCCATACCAATTTTCAAACATAGTTCAGTAATTCATAATTTCTGAAAACAAACACTACCTACTACAGAGGTTAACTTTTTGCTTACATAGTACCTACTAATTACTATAGTAGATATTATTTATTTTAGGTTCTAATATGATGGTTACTACTATAATTCTATTATGGTGATGTGTTTGTTCTTTTTCTGTATGTGAACAACTTTTCTCCCAGAAATCTTGCTCCGATTATCAACAAAGAGGCGATGGTTCCTATAATGCAACACAATGGTATACAAAAAACCATCAATCATATAAATAATCGTTTAATATACCTACACCCAGGTTTGTAGCCAATGGCGGTTTTACGGGGGGAGAGTCCAAGGGGTCTGGACTACCCTTGTCCACCAGGTTAGGAGAATTGTGATACCCGCTTAACGAATTCCAATTTCGTTTTCGGGAATCATAATTAATTCTAAAAAGTCTTTGGCAACAAAGCGATAATAATCGCTTTTTGGAACTTATTTTGTATATCATCCTAGATTTTACCGAAATTATTTGGTAAATGTCCGAATTTCGGACATTTACCGACAGCAGTGGTAGGGTAGGCCATCATTTTCTTGAACGTAACTATCTGATATGAAAAATTCCGGAACGTAAATCCCGAACCGCAATAATACAAAACGTACAAATCCAGAATGTTAAATCACGGAATATAAAATGTTCGTAATAATAGGTAAAAACCAATTATATCGTCAATAGCAGTTTTTATTCCGCTGACCTTCTCTCACCCACCTCCTAGATTTAAAATGTTTATCGTTCCTGTCTATATTGCTTACTTTTCCAAATTTTCCATCTACGGGATTTTACTTTCCGGATTCCTACATTCCAGAATATTACGTTACGGATTATTGCGTTCCGAATTTGTATAGCTCTCCATTATAATGTAATATAATTATAGTAGGTATATCTATATTATAGTATAGTATAATAATTATAAATTAAAATTAAATTTAATCAATCTAATTGATTCAAATTAAACTTTATTTTTTTTTTTTTATCTTGATTTCGCTGTTTTTACTTTAGTATTTTAATTTTTGCTCTATTATTCGCTTTTTTGGATGGATACTGTCTTAACTACTACCTAACTAATAACCTAACTACTACCTAGTATCGTCTTCATCCCAACTATTTGGGGTATACCTATACTTTCTAGAATAAAGTAAAAAGCCTTTAAAGTATAAATATAGATATATTTACGTACATTATAGTATTTTATTTTATTTATACAGTTTTGTAATGGCTGTCGATTACTTTCAAATCAAGTATCCCGATTCAATGGTAGTTTTCGACATGACGATCGTGTACATCCTGGTGGCGTTTGTCGCGGTTCTGACCAACAATCTACTCGTCGACACATTATCATTTACTTGTCGGATCAATATCGGTACTTACAAAATGTTATATAATTACAAACGGCAATTGCTAAAACAAGGGCAGGTCAAGGGGGACACTAGGAGCAAGTGCCACTCCCGTTATCAAAAAAAGTACTTCGTTTACTATGATTGTATAAGTATATTTGATGTAAATTATCAAAACAAGATTTAAATATATAAAGAAGTGATACATAAACGACTTTCCTGTTGCTTATTGTAAAAAAATAGGATAATGATGGCAGAATGAAAAAATTTGAAGTTTTTACTATTTTTTTTATGAAACGTGTTTTTTAACATTGGAATATCTTGTTATTTTTTCAAAATGCGTCCTTTTACATTGTTAGTGTTATCAAAAATCGTCTACATTTTTTTTAAAAAAAACGTGTGGTATGGCTTGGAGTATTGGTAGACAGAAAAATAGAAAATAAAATGAGTATATCAGAGATAAGAATGGTTATGTAGATAATTTGGGTGCCAAAAGAAGATAGGATAGCGAACGAGTAGAATAGGCATGACTTATTAGTAGACAAATTGTGATGGTTTGAGTATGTCATGAGGAGAGAGAAATGAGAAGTAATAAGAATGGTAATGAAAATAAACGTAAAAAGAATGAGAGGAAGAGGAAGATAGTTGGTAGGATGCAAAAATGATATGAGGACACTTAAAGACAGTCAGTGTATGCGAGGTAGGAGATCAGGTCAAGTGGAAATTTAAGACGAGGGCGACCGACCCCAAATAGCTGAGAAAAAGGTGGAGAAGAAGAATGATATACGCAGGGTCTGTTGAGATGCTGGATCCGTCCTTAATTGTGAATTAATTTTCGGTGATGGTGTAATATTTAACACTATAATATTTTATTATAGGTTACGGATTGACAATTTCGACGCTGCTGTTCGTGGGTCTCGTGGAAGTTTTTTGGGAAGGAATATTCGTGATCAAAACGACGTATTGTCTCAACCTAATAGCCATTTCGATAATTGCATGGGGCGCGACAAGTATCCATATTATTATATATTCGTTAAATAAAATTGAAGAGACAAGAAGTGCATGCATTTTTTTTATTTTATAGTCCTGCAGTCCAGTTTTTACGGTTACACTAGTATATTACCGACAAAATACACGCAGGCCGTCATGATCGGAGAAAGTTCGTACTTAACAAAATGTTGAATATTAAAGAAATTAAAATTTATAAAAAAAATCGGTGTTTAATACAATATTTGTGTAATATTAAATTACCTATATAATAATACAACGAACGGCGAAATAATACGTACCTACCGACTTACTTTTCGAAGGTGCTGCCGGACTTTGGGTGTCCGTCAATCGAATATTCACGAAATTGATGTCTAGTGATTTACGGGTGAGCACGTTCTTCTTCTTTCTAATCAGCCACCTGGTCGTAGCCGTGTCATGCGTGTTATTCCAAATGGTGCAGTCTTCCGATTTCGTCAAATTTTACATTGCCCGAAGCGAAGAATCGAAGAAAAAAATTTCGCTGGAACCAACGGAAGAATGTGTGAGAATAATTATTGAAAATTTCTCTTTACCCTATAGTTAAATATAGTACTACATATCTATCAAATAAATTAGTATATTATAAATAGTTATTATAAATTAGTAACAATGATATGGTACTAGTTTTCCCTAAACAATTGATTTATTATACATGAAATACATATTATGAATTTTGAAGGAAAATGGTATCTATACAATTTATATTCCTGTACCTAACTATATAGGTTTTTAAGAAGATGGCCAAGGCCACATTGTTACCTATAATATTAGTATCGTTTAACAATTCTATACTGTTTTAAAGGTGAATTCTGAACAATGCCAACCAGAACCAGTGGCTGAAACCAGTTTGAGCGCAGGAAAATTATTCAAAGACGAAAATTTACTTAGCTTTGCAAACCCCATGTACGACCCGAACACCAGTAATGTGCCAACGTACAAAGTAGAAGACGTTATGGTACACATAGAAACGAGCAATTCGTTTAGATTACCAAAATCTAACTGGTCCGAATTTTGGACTTCGTTTAAAAGTAAGCCAAATTCAACAACGTCTGGTCAATTCCTTTTTTTAGATTCTGAGTGAAACGAGAAATGTATTTGTTTTACAATGATATTTATTTATTTTTTTTTTTTTTGTAAACAACTTTTTTATCAAACATCTTGCTTTGATTTTTAAGTGTAGCATTTTTCTAAAAAAAATATGATCTGAGTGGTTTTCAATTTGATTTAAAAGTGATTTCCCAAGAAGTTTTTCATAATAAACAGAAAAAACGGAAAAATTTAAGAAATTTATTATTTTCAAGTTTATTTTTTTGTTGGGATTCAGTTAAACATATTCGTAGAGACTTAAAATTTGGATAGAACATTTATATTTATCTTTCCTAAACGTGGTAAAATGTTTAAAACATTTTAGCCATTTTTGAGCTACCTGTTTATAGACATTTTAATTTTGAGAGTTTTTTACGTTATTTTTATTTGATAGGTAGTAGGTACTATGTGCATAAAATTGTATAATATACTTCACACGAAGATAATATACTCACTGTAATACCTCCAGAGATAATAAAGATAATCAAATTATGTTTTTTTTATATATATATATATATATGTATATTACTCAGGGATGAGGAATACAAATATTTATATTTCAATTAATTTTTATGTTTCGGTAAAAAACTAAAAAAATTATTTTAATTTTTGTTATTTTTGAAAAATTTGAAGATAACCATGTTATAGAATTTGTGATTTTTAATAATTGTTTAAAACTCAGAGAAAAATAGGTACCTATAATTTATGAAACAGGCTATTCGCTAATTCATTATTATTATTATTATTATTATTATTACAGTATCACTATACAGTTTTTTCACGGAATTTTAAAAAAATTTTAAAAATCTTGTATTCAATAAAAATAAGACATTCCAAGTTTTATATATAGTTTTATATAAGTTATATATATATATATATTATATTAGCCTATTCTTGACGTAGTAGAATTTTTAAACCATTTTTGAGCTAATTATAAGGATTTTATTTTTGCAAATTTTTCACATAAATTTATTTTGTATGGGTATTCTGTGAATAAAATGGTTTGATTAATCAAAAATGCTCGTGAACTTAAAATGAGGTTCATTATAATAAGGTTTTTTAAGTAGTTAAATAAAAAATGTTTAGCCTTGAGCGTATAATGTAGTAGTTTTTTAATAAGCGTTTTAAGATCATAATATTTTGACGAAAATAATAATAATTACGGCATTTCAAAGCATTTATGAATTGAACTTCATTTAAAATCGTATTTCATTATCAATGTTTTATCATTGCTTGCAGATATAAATTAAATAACTTTATGTATATCATACCTTCTAATTTCCCACCTACAATAGTAATATCAGCTTAGCGCAGTGATGAGTGTATTAATTGTACTGTTGTGTCTGTTTATTTTTCAATCAGAAATATTGTTCTGATTTTTAAGTGTAGCATCTGTCCTGAATTAAAATTGTATCGAATTGGTGTTTTGGTGAGGTTATTTTTTAATTTTCTTAATAGTTGGAAAATCCGGAAGAAAATCCTATAGATTTTTACAAAATCGCTAAGCATAAATCTCGTGTTTTATATTACCAAAAGTTAAATTATTTATAGAAATGCTTGCAGAAATTATTGTTAATATATTAAACATATATTTTTAAGAAAACCATTTACAAAATTATTTAATCGGTTCGATTTTCAACAGATGGATACAATATGAGAAAGGAAGTGTCCAAAGTGATTTGGAAACAAATGTTGGCGATTTTCTTGTGCTACTTCGTAACGCTCAGCATTTACCCAGGGGTACTGTCCGATTTGGTCAGCCCCAGATTCGGCACATGGATGCCCGTACTCGTTATGACCGTATTCAACGTATTTGACCTCTTAGGAAAGGTAAATAACAAGCATGCACCTATAATTTATAAAAAAAAATCTTAAAGTTAGAACAATTAATGTAATTAGTTGAAAAAAAATATGTTTATAGACTTTCACGCAGATGACTTTAATGGATCTGCGTGTGACATGATTTTTTTTAAATTCATAAACGTACTTTACTGGAAAAACTCTCATGTCATTTCTTATATATAGCCAAATAAAATATATAAGCAGCAAAGATAACGTCAATATGAATAATACTAAACAATTTTAATCAAATTATGTAGAAAAACCTAAATCTAAAAAATATGTTAAAATATAATGAGAAAACATATTATTATGTTCTTCTGCACTTAGCGATTCATATAGGGTATGATTTATTCACCTGTATTATATTTGAATATTATACGTATACCGCAGTTATTAGGCGCGTATACGTACGAACAATGGGACGACAAGGTACTAAATAGTGCCGAAAGACGTCTGTTCATGATTCCCGCCATTTTGCTAATAGTCATCGTCCAACATCCGTTCCACACGAGACTAATCAGCGAGTTCCTGATTGTGCTACAGACGACCGTTCTCGGCATAACCAACGGCATCACTGGCAGCGTGCCCATGATTTTTGCGCCGGCCAAAGTCGTCGAAGAACGGCGTGAACTAGCCGGTGAGTATTTATATGTTTGGTCCAGGAAATAAGGGTTGTCAATTATTTTTTTTTATAATTTTATCTTATGTAATTTGTTTACCTTTTATTTTTGATCTAAATGGCATACGGATAAGTTTGTGTAAGAGTATATATTCTAACAAATGTCATACAGGAAATTAAAATATCATTAGGTATGTGAATGATATAGGTACTTTTTGTCTGGCAAAAGGGATGAATCAGATATTTTTAATTTTTTACATTAAGAACGCCATATTTGGATTAAGCCATTTATCAATTTAGCCATTTGGTAGGTCATTTAGTAATAATTTTAAAAATGTAATTTGATAGTTCTAAATTGTTTAAGAGGTACCACTAAATATTTCAGTTATATGACCTAGTATTGAAATAGAATTTTCGGGGAATGATAGGGAGTACCCAAATACACATTTTCAGATAAATTTCAAATTTTTAACCCTTTTGATACGCGCATGTGCAATACAAGTTACTTTGTTTTAAATGGCAACACCATTTTTTTTTCTACAGATTCGGATAGTTTTTTCTAATTACAAAAAGGGCAAAGTTATAATATGTTGAAATTTATTATTTACAAATAATCTGTTATTGACGAAATTTCAACTATTTTCTAAATTTTCTTTTCGTTATTTAGTCTTATTTTTTTCATTTATTCTTTCAAAATAAATTGAAGGTAATAAAAATTATAAAAATGTACACACTATGAATTTGAAATTAAGATTTATTTATTTGCAACTATAGTTTTATCAAATACATTTTTCAAAGTTTCCGCCAAACATGATTCCGAACGTTTTAAAAATTCTCTTGATATGGCAGCGTTTATTTGGTCTTCTCTCAAATTATTACATGCTACTCGTAATTTATTTTTTAAATCTTGGATATTTTTAGAAGGATCCACATTTACAATATTTTTTTAAATGCACCCATAAAAAAAACTAAAGTATTTATTTGTGTCCTATCTGTATACAAACAGGTATTTCACAATATCGAGGATATTATCATTTCGATATTCTAGTATAAAAGTTAAACATAGTTAAAATTTCGTCAATTACAGATAATTCGTAAATATCAAATTTTAACATACTATAACTTTGCCAATTTTGTAATTAGAAAAAAACTTTTTATATAAAAATTGTTTTAAAAAAATACTCTATCAAAAACTGTAGGAAAAAAAATGGTGTTATCATTTAAAAAAAAGTAAGTTGTATTGCGCATGTGCATACCAAAAAGGTTAAAAATTTGATTTAAGCCCTATTTCACTGACGCGAAAAAATATGATACAGGTTATAAATTATGATTAAATCATATGATTTAGTACTTAGGTAATGAGTAACCTACCATTGTATATATATTATTATGTTCAGTTTCCGTACAGTTCAGGGCCTATTTTTGTGTGTAATATGGAATTATAAAATGTGTAGTGTTATAAAAAAAAATGTTTCAAAACTATGTTTTGTTTTTATATTATATTTTAATTTTTAAACGAATTTAGAAAAAGTATATCGAAGAAATTCGATCAAATATAAAGTATTTTAAAATTTGTTATTTATTATTATGATGTTTTAAAACTTGTTATCTTAATGCGTGGTAGAATTCGTTACTGACTTTGAATAAGGAATTAAATCCAGAGGAACGTTATTTAATCAAATTTGTTGAAAAAATAATGTATAAATAAAGTACAAACTAGTTATGTATATACATTATGTAATATTTTTTTTTAAGTTTACTTATTACATTACTCATAAATTTCTCATTTATAAATTTTATACCTGGAAATATTTGTGAAAAAAAAAAATTTTAAACAACTATAAATGGTAGAAAAATTAGTGAAATAACTATAATTAAGAGTATGGCGGCAAATTGTATTTTGTTGCTATGAATATATGGTCTAAACTAAATACCTACGTGCTGCCCTTAAAATGTGAATATATAAGAGGTATTCACTATATACACCTAGAACCGAGGATAGTATACATATGATATAAGTGCCAATTTGTAATTAATTTATAATAATTAGATGAATGGTAATTATTAATTTCAAATATGCGTTAGCTAAATAACTTACAAAAGTAACATTAATAGAAAAAGTAACTAACACGTAATACCAACTATATTACATAGGTACCTACTGCTATATTAGTTAACTGGATTGTCAAGTTAACTAAACCTATATACAATAAATCGACTAAGGTTACCAACTAAATATCGATAATGCTAAAAAGTTATACCCAGTGACGTAATCAAGGGTTTTAGGGAGTTATAACTTCTCCCTGAAATATCTTGGACATTTTTTCAAATTGTATAAGTTATAAGATGTTCTTTAAGTGGGTTACCTTTTTTATTTTTTCAGTGTAAATTCTTTATTATGATTTTGAAAAAACGGAAAATCCTGTTAGTCATACAAATAATATTAAATTATTAAGAAGACATGATAACCCCCCCCCCTTATCCGATTAAAATAATGTTACCCTTCTGATCTGCCTATAAAATTTCCAGTTAATCGCTATCGTCTATTGCAGTACTATAGCCAGAAAAAAAAATTCCTGGAGGGGGAACACACTAATGATTTTTATTGTAACCTACTATTTTTTAAAATGGTAAAATACACCAAAAAAAAAAAACCCTGAAATAATCAATGAACTTCAGGGAGGGAACTTGTCCCCAATGCCACCGTGATAATGATACTGGCCTATCAGATATACCCGTGTGCAAAAGATGAATGCAGTAATATTTTGAGTATATGTCTACTTTATCGTGTAAAAATTTTCTGGATCTTCAAGAAGATTAAATATTATTTATGTATGACGAATGTATACTGTATGTATCATGTATGCGTAAGTATAGTGCTTACCAATGAAAAATATACATTTTAAATTCGAAGCATAGCGAGAAATCTAATAGGAAATTGGTTTTACTGACATAAATATGAATATGAACCATTTTATAAACGTATTGAATTTTATCTGGACCCTTATGTTCAAATTGTTATTATTGAACATAGACAATTACAAAAAAAAGTTAAATATAATAATATATTTCCTGAAATAGTCATCGATGCTTTATGTTTATGTAGTAAATTCATTTTTCCGGATATTTATCATGTTTTGATTTACTGAAGATATTATACACCATACCCAGTATCTAAGTCGACTCCTGAAAGAACATGTCCATGTATGAAAAGACCGAAACCCTATCTAAGGAACATCATGAGTGGGTAATATTAATAAGTATTGATGATATGATGATAAGTAAGATGACATTATTTTTCTTAATATATAGAACTGTCTCAATGGATTAACCTTAATAGCACTTTATAAAGAAGTAGATATGATACTGATGAAATCCTTGATTTTATAGCACGAAAGTCAAGAAAAATAGATATAATTTTTTAAATAATTAAATTCATTATATACGTATTGGAATTTAATTCGTATTTAATCGGTATTATGGTGGTGTGGGAATATAGCTCCAAGACTTATATTACAAATAATTTGTAAACCTCCCCCCCTCCAACGGAAATTCCTGAAAATGCCAATTTCCTGAGGTGTGCCTATCATTTGTACGCAAAAATCGCCCTAATAAAAACCCTGTTGCAGGTAACATAATGACAATTTCATACATAGCCGGCACGACGGCCGGCAGCTTGTTCGCCTACGTGCTGGACAAGATCATACACTTCGAGTACGACTGGACAGACGACGAACACGTTTTCGGCGGTCACAATGATTTTAGCGCGGACCCGGAACCAACGACCGTGATGACATCGCTGAACAACAAGTCCATTATATATTTTACAGCACCGTAATTTCAATAACTCCACGGACGTCATCGAATTCTCATAAATTCCCGGAATAGACGATAATATATAATGTATTGATATATTATTGCGAATTTATGATATTAAACTAGCGATTTTAATAGAAGAAAAAAAGGTGTACATTAGGTAGGTATACATATTATATTTATTCACATAACGTATAGGTACCGTAGTGCCTACTATCTACCGAAATGGGTTAACATTCCTTTTTACTTTTCGATTTTTAACAGTCTACGTTTTTTTAACATTGACGTAGGTGTGTACCTATGTATAATGTATATAATATGTATATATTGCCAATTTTTAACCCTACTTTTCTTCGTCTTATTGTGTTCATTGATTATTAATTACTGCTAATTTTAGTTCTTATTTGTAATTGTAACCATTGGGCTACCAGCCCGTACCATTGATTAATATAAATAAATAATAAAATATTATATATTGGGCTAGTGTACAAAAATGCAAAATCAAACATTTTGAACTAATTAGTTATTTATGTGTGTAAAATCAATAAACAACTATTACGTCGAGAAAAAAACAAGTATAGGAAAACAACGAGAGTACCTACTTACCTATAGAGTATAGACAATAGAGCTTAAATATCATTGGGTTAGCAAACGTTAAAGTGTGTTTATTTGGGTCCAGGCCAAAACAATCGAAATTCCGACAGTTAAAATTTTTCTTATGATTTAGTTCAGCTTTACATCGATCCTCTCCCTAATAAATTTAACCGGGAATTTACGTCATGTAACATTTAACAAGCAATATAACACAAATCTGTGTAGGTTACTACTGGCTACTTCCGTGTTCCAATATAGTAATCACACTACTAATACTCAAAATTAGTGATGTAGTCAGAAATTTTAGTTGAAAGTACAATTTTTAAAACTATTTAAATATGAATGCTTTAAATGTGAAAAAGAATCAAAATATGTAAATATGTATACTTATACAAATCCTAGTTATTACACCCTTTTTATTAAATATTTATTTAAAAATCATGAACAACTAAAATAAAATGTCTTGTACTTTGCACAATTAATTTTCTTTTAGTTTTAAAATATGTATAAGCTCATGCGTCTATTTTTTCTGCAAACTTACATAACACACACTAGATCCCCTAGATTTAAAAGAATTTGGAAAAGACTATATAAACAACTATAGGTACAATTTGTTTAAAATGCAAAAATGAAAACTGATGATAATTTGTATCTTATAATAAATACAGTTTATGATTATTTTCAATGAATATATATTTAAGGTGCAACATTACATGCTTTTGATTTAACACCGCGCGCAGTACAGCCACACAAATTATACGTAACTACTCTACTTTAACCAAAACTTAAAAGTCAAATGTCTCGTCAATGGGTTAACGGAAATCAAAAATGTTGACATCAAAATGTATTTAAAGTAATACTCCGTCTATTTATGGAATATTTAATATAGGTTCTCATTCGAAAAACCAAAGTTGACACCACCAAATAAATCAGGATACTCCTTAAATATTGTGAAAAATATAAGTATTCAAAAATATCGACTTTAACTACACTTAAAAATTCTAAAAATCAGAATTTAAATAAATGCAAAATTTAACCAAAAAATTGAGTGAGCACACTCAAATTGAATCAACCTGTATAACGATTTTCGTCAAATTTGATATTAAAATTCCTATAAAAAAAAATACGTACTACATTTAAACTCAGTTTTTTTTGTACTGACTAAAAAGTACCTATGACTTCTAATGAACCTCCTGTTAAATTTTCAAGTATTTCTGTTTAGTCTAACAATTTAATCCACTGAATACCTGCACCAAATCAAAATTACTCCCAAATTTAAAATATCTACCTAAATAAAGCTCAAAAATGGCTCAAATATGTTTACATTTTTACCACGACTAGAAAAAACAAATATAAGTTTTTTGCCCAAATTTTAAGTCACTATTAATATTTTTAATTGAATTATAAATGCATTATTTTCGTAAATGTTCCCATTTTTCGGACATTTATTCCGGTTTTTTCAAGATATAAATGAAAACCATTTGAAAAATCAAAAAATGATCTCCTTAAAGTATCATGTAGACAATATTTCCTTCCAAAAATGGTGCCACTGCCACATGTACACATCGAACCAAGATTTCTGGTAGAAATTTTTGTCACAGCATAAAAAAAAAATAATAAACATTTAGGTAAAACCAATACATTCTTCGCTACCCCCAGAAAAACTGTGTATTAGGATATTATTATGAATTTTATATTATTTTATTTTACCATCGTTATCAATGTGTATTAATGTATTATTATTATTACGAAAATTTGGCGTAGAATTACGATTAAGTTCGAAATCTGTGATTAGTTTATGTCTAATCGAGAACACAGAAATATCAAAAATTATTTCACATAAGTCAAAGCCATATATCATACTTACCTACGTGTTACATACAATTATAATAGAACTATACGAAAATGAAAATAACTACAATTAATACTTGCATATCAAAATAATTAGGCAATGATAAACCATTGCTTACTAAAAACGATTCTGAGCCGAGTTCAATTGATAGTAATGCTTTGTCAACAATATATGCGTCATATTATGATAACATAATTAAATATGCATTATATATTTTCTTTAATAATATGTACTCGATATTGTACTTATTTTCCCGGTTATTCTTATTTATTATGGTACAGCTAGGAATATCAAAAAATGACCTACTTAAAAAACCACCCCAGTCAGATTTCCTTTTAGAAAAAATGCCATCGTTATAAATAGGAACGAAATTTATAGTAGAAAAGTTGTTCACAGAAAAAAAAAAATAACGTAAAACCAATACCTACACCCCTTGCTCTACTCGGAATCTAATAAACTGAAAACAAATTACTATTTTTGATTTTAAGAAGTCAAACAAAGGGTCAAATGTCTACAAGGTTGGAGCGCTTAAGATTAATTAAGGGTACAATTTAAAAATTATTCACACACAAGGAAGTATAACCCACCAGATTTCATGTCTAGGCACCCTGTACTATCGACAAAGGATAAGTAAATAGTGTAATAGACCCTGTAGAAGAAGAGGTAAACGCCAACTGAACTACTGAATTTACCAAAAACTATTGCAAAAAGTAAAATAGCAACCCACACTGGAAAAAATAATGAACTTTTGAAAGTATCAAAAACTCAAATTAAACAATATTTAGATTTCGATTCTAAATACAAAGCATCCCAAATGAATTATCAACAAATGATGGAGTCTTAATAAAAAAAAAGGAAAAAGCATCCAATTCCAGGAAGTTTAAGAAAAAAAGTAATTAGTATTATCACACAAGTAAAAGGTAGGTGCATACTATGGTAACAGCCAAAGGTGGATCAAAAGAAAATAAAATAACAAGGAATGCATTTCATTTTTACAAATCTTCATGGAAGGTTTAGAAGCAGGCCAGAAAACGCGGGACAAGAGAACCAAAAACAAGGAAGACTAAGAAGTTTTAGAAATTAGGTATGCTTTATGGGAATGTTACTGACATCCTCATGAATGGATGGAAGTTTTTGTGAATAGTAAGTTACTCTAGGTAGGTAGATAAAATAATTCAATGACTATATCATTTTTTCTTAATGAATTTTTTTTTTTTTTCTAAAAATTTTGAACAACTCTCGTTCGTTTATCTAACCAAAAATCAATTTTAGATTTTGAAAAAAGCAAGTTTATAAGAAGGATTTTGTTTTTATGGTTTAGACAAACACTTTAAATCATTAAAACTGTGGAATTTTAGTTATAGTAGACAATTATGAATTTAAAGCTTAACCTAGAATCGCCTTTTGTGTAAGCAATGATTAATATCTAAACAAAATTGGTATTTTTATTCTACCTATTGGTAGTGTGTAGTTTTTTACTTTTTAATTTTGGTCTATAAAAAATAAACTATAGGTAACATTCAATTTCCATAGCCCTCTCAAAAAAATAAATATACCTATATATGTCAACACTATTATTATATACTGTTAATTTCAGGAAAAAGCATCTTGATGATTTGAAACATAATAGTAATCTTCTGAAATATTAAAATCAATTTGCTCCTAGACATTAAAAACTCCTCTTTAGAAAAGTTATCCACACCTTTTATAAAATTTAATTCTTGTCATTAACATATCTATTATAATAAAGTAGAAAAATAAAATTCTACAAGTTTTTTTTTTTTTTTCAGTGTACCTATGTTGTTATAACAAATTCTATAAATATGTTTCAATTTTTATCAATGTGTAATAATTAGTGCTAGACTTATTGCACTTAAAATTCACAAAAAGTGTTTAAAAACATTAAAAAAGCCTTGAAAAAAATATTATTGAACCAAATGGTAGAAGGGTTTAAATTTTCCTTGTCTAACAGCTCTAAATTGTTTAAATTCTAAAACGATAAAAATAATTGTTTTAAAAAAATTGTATGTATTTAAAATAAAAAAAACTTTGGGTCAACTGTATTTTAGTAGTGTTAGAAAATTGTATTAGATAAAGCAAAGCTGCAAGAGGGAGAACATATAAAACCTACCATTTTTACAGGGGAGTACAAACATACAATTTATCACCAACTACCAATAGTTATTCTGAAAAAAAAAAAAATTAATGCATAATGGGTAAAAATCAAAGTAGATATCATCTGATATTTTTGTGAGAAATTTAAATAAGTTGAAGTTCTGGAATGTACCCCTTTTTATACTTGTTTGGTATATTATGCAAACAGTGTATATGTCACACAGAATTCATGAATTTGCCAAATTCATGAAATCGTATATTACTTATAGGAGACTAACAAACTAAAGAAGAAAAACATGTTCTGATTTTGCACATAACATAAGTTTTACTGCAATTTAAACTGAAAATCATAAAAACATTAAATTGAATAATTGATCGGTGAAAAATAAAAGTTACATTAATATTAATTATTAAAATTAAACAGCTTGAAAAATTGTTTGTTAACGCAAATCTTCCATAGTGAGACAGGTACGATCCAGTGACATCGAATTACATGTCATTTCCTAATAACTTAGGTATACTTGTAACAATTGTTTTAAATCCACTGTTCACAGTGTAAAATGAATGAATTTACTATATAAACACTGTACAATATGTAATAGGTAAATGTATTATTTTATTTTAGTGATAAATAAGATAAAATATTTTGTTTTTAAGTTACATAGGGAACTACATAGATAATTTTGAATTCTTGTTATTCAGAGCATACATATTCCTGGTATAATATCGACGAATAATGTATTGCTGATTTCGTGAAATTTGTAGACAAGTTGCCAATTTTATGTATTCGATAATTTTTGCGAAATTGGCAAATTCGTGAATTTAATGTACCATATACATAATTTTAACATAACATGCTAAACTACTTTAAATCTATACAGTTCTAAAAAAGTATACATAAATCTAATATTAAATATCATATAGGTATTGTTTTTCGTAAATAAGTAAGGACTCCTAATACATTATTAACCAATTAATTTTAATTTCAATTAAATATAACAAATTAATAATTTGCTTACAATCTATGTAGCAGTGTTCCAAATTGAAGATATTTCTAATTTATTGTTACATAATTTCAACTCAGTTTTAAGGTACTTAATTCACCATTATATTCTAAATATAGTGTAGGTATCATTTTTTGTTATTAAAATATATTTCTTCTATACATTAGAATATAATTCAATGACATATTTTAAAAACTAACCTAAACAAAATTATCCAGTTTTTTAAACTTTTGAATGTTTGCACTGATATTGTGACAATTAAGTCTATCAAAAATTATAAATATACCTGTTTACATCAACATTATATACTTATAATGAATGTTTTTATTTGTTTTTTTTCTTTAATTTGATAATTGTTTGAAGTATTTGAATCTTATTTTATTTAATCTATAGTAAACAATAAGTAACATAATTTAATTATTAAAATAATAGCATCATATTGAAATTCGAGAATACTGGCTGTAATCAAATAGGATATACATTCATATCTGAAACAAGTAAATGGTTGGTTAATCACTGATGCCTATAAAACACTCAAATATAAATAAGAACAGTATTATAATATATACATATATTTTTTTTAAGTAGGTATAATCATGTATTATTATTAAATCATAAAAATGTTGAAGATAAATTTAAAAAAAATTAAATTATATTTGTAAAACAAGATCATTTCTTCTAGTATAAAATACTGACATATCACTGTATCCAAGTAATTTGACTATTTGCAGCACGTATACAATAATTAAAAAATTAAAATATTGAAGTAAAATTATAAGTGAACTGATTTCATCATAATCTTAACTAGAGGAAAAAGCTTATTTCTAAAGCCTGAGAGAAGGGAAAGAAATAAACCTTTTGATCCCCATCTGAGTTTAAGTAGTAAAACCATTACAAAAATATATACAGTGTGATTCAGCATGCACGCCCCATATTTTGGTTGAATTAAAATTCTGATTTTTGAAATTTATAAATGAATTTATACATTATCTTGTGATGATACCACCTTTGGTTTTTAAAATGAGAACCTATGTTAAAAATTTGATAAATAGATGCTGTATTACTTTAAATACATTTTGGTGTAAACATTTTTGATTTCCGTCACCATAGGATACTCCTTCAATGTTGTGAAAAATCTAAGTATTCGAAAATATTGGATTTAACTACACTTAAAAATGCCAAAAATCAAAATTTAACCAAACAATTGGGATGAGCACACTCAGTATATCACCTGTATATTAAATACATTTCATTTTTATTACAGATAATATTATATACTATATCAATATTCAACAAAATATAGATTACTTATGCACATACATAATATATAAAAAAAATTAGTAGTATTATATAATAAATTAAATTTTTTATTTGTATTTATTTATACAGGTGAGCTGATATACTCCATTCGCCGAGAAACGTAACTCATTCGCACATCCAAATTAATGAGCTTTGACGTCTAGTAGTTAAATTCTTCCCCCACACAGCCACAGATGTGCGAATACCACAAGGAATGCACGAAAATGGACAATTTCCATTGCCACCCAGTTGCGTACTTTCTACAAATGGAGTATAACACTTTCTTCCAATGGCTCACCTCAAAATATTGAACATGGAATAAATCGTATATAGCGTATAACATTAAATCTAATATTTATTTTAAAATATGTTAAAAATATAATTTGAAACTAAATTAAATACTAAACAAATCATTATATTTAATAATTTTAAGTATGCTAAAATATTATTCACCTAACTAGTAATGAAGTTCTATATTTATTTTGGATTATAGTTTATAATCCATTTATATTATAAAATATTACATAAAACAAAAGTATTAAATAATTAAAAGAATACAGTTGCAAAAAAATAAAATACTATACTTAAATAATTGATTAACTTATGAATACATTAATTTAATTAAAAATAAAAAATATTATGTCACTGAAGAAAAATCAAAAAACCACTATTTACTTGTTACTAAAATATATTTGGTAATATATTCCACTTTGCAATACATTTATAGTCCCACGAGTAACCATATTTCAATCTACAGTAGTTTGAAATACGGGTAGATCGGTGAGACAAAGTAACAATGTAATATAATGGATAAAATAAAATGGGCCAGGATGATTTTAAACTGGCAACATTTGGTTCAATTATTGGCAATATTAATGCTAAATGTAATACTATGACCCCCAAGTATTGAGGATATCTTATGTATGACCAGAGACCACGTCGAACAACTTCTATTCCACCTAATCGTAATAATTATAAAATTAAACAAAAAAAAAAAAAAAAATGTTCAGCTAATGTTTTAATGGATCTACTAGCTAATACTTACCAGTTGATAGATGTGCATTTGTTTTTAAAACAAAATGATATTTAATTAAATTAGAATAACGTTGACAGATAAGTCCAAACAGAAAAGTGATTCCAGAAATAGTTAAAATGTAGTAATTGACAGGTCTTTAAAACAAAGAAAAAAATAAATAAATAAAAATTCCAGTTAAAATATAATACATCTATACTTAGTGTACTTACAATTTGTTTGAAATTAAAATTTGAATTGGTAAAATATGTATTGCAGGTTGTACAAATTGTTGAAGAATAGTCCAATAACCAACTTTTTCATTTTGTAAATAAAACGATGACAATAAATTATTTTCAAAGGCTAACTTATCTACAGAAAAAAGTATTTGACATCCAGCAACATAATTGAGATAAATATTATTTGGATGTTTAAGATTATCCATGATGATAAGAGAATTATACAAAATCTATGAAGTAAAACAAAATTAATATTAATAATTAATTAATATTAAAAACATTTTGTTTATTTAACTTACAGTCATTAATGCAGAATACCTATACAGAGCCAATTTAATATTAATAGGCCCTAATGTAGGATTGATTGTTGTTCCAATAAACAATTTTTGTACAATATTTAAAGAATTACATTCATCGACTTTGTTACTAAACTTTGTTTTTAGATATAACACTATTGAAATAAGTAAAGCATATAAAACAGATGCTACAATATAGGGAACAGTTTTTTTAGTCACTATTTCTATAATAAAATTTATTGGGCACTTGTAATAATCCATCACAGCAACAATTAAAACACCTATAATTAAATTTATAATTCCTAAAAAAATATATATATAATAAATAACATTATACAATTATTTAATATATTAATTGAATATATCTTAAAATAACTAACCAGAAAACCTGTAGTATTGAAGTCCATTCATAATATTCTGTAATCCTTGAGTTTTTTTAGCTAATGGAACAACTGATATTAAAAGCTGAATAAATACAATAGCAGCTGACCAAATAAATACATTCTGATCGTAATAGTTTGTTAATCTTAAATATCCTTGTGGAAATGGTATTAAATTTCCTTTCTAAAAAATAAAAATTTGTAATAATTTGTTAAATTAAAAACTAAAATAATTGTATTACAGCTTTTAGGCCAATTTGTGCAAGAACAATTAAAATTGGTAATGACATAGATAATATGAAATTTCCCAGTGTTCCTCCAAATTGGTTTTCTTCATGGTATGTTATATTTTTATGATTTAATTCAAATTGTGGATTATTATCGTCAGACTCACTATCATAAAATGATCTGGAGACAGCAGAGACCTGAAAATGTTTTATAATGCTCATATATTTTATAATAAATAAATAATCATAGTTAGGTTATGTCATAGTAAATTCACATTAGCAAAATAGATAGCACAACTATGAAAATAGCATATTAAAAATCCATAAAATATTGTAGTATGAAATTGTGTTTTAATCCTTATATATAACAACAATTTTGATAAAAAAAAATGTATGAATGATATATTTTATATAGAACAAATTTATTTTCATGTTTTATTTGTACATATATTTTTTTTTTTTTAATTCAGTGTCCTCTAATTTCCCAACAATATAAATAATCAAATATAGAATTTTCAGTTACCCATTCATTACATAAACTTATCTTTTTTCATTAGTAATTTGACATAAACTATGCATATATATATATATATATATATATGGATAAAAGGTGATTATTTATCATAAACCAGCAATTACTCGGAGTTTTTTTAAGTTAATTTGATTTCTGTTTTTTCTAATCATTATGGAATCATTTAAACTTTATTTAAAAACCATTTTTAATTTTATACTTCTATTCCATGTACCTTAAATAAGTGCATACTTTTGATTTTCAAATAGGAACCCAGGGGGGAAATAGATAGGCAATTTATTACCCTTCCTTACTCCTCTGGTCTAAACTCTAATCTGCTACAACTCATAAATGGTAAATCTGATATAAGTGTTATGCATATCAAAATATCTAGAAAAATATTCTCTACCAAATCTTTGTTCAAAAGGCGGGTTCCTGTTTGAAAATCAAAAGTATACACTTATTTAAGGTATACAGAGTAAAGGTAAAAAATTAAAAATGGTTTTAAAATAAAACTAACCTAACGATTCCATAATGATTAGAAAAAACAGAAATCAAATTATTAACTTAAAAAACTGTGATAATTGCTAGTTCATGATAAAAAAAATCACCCTATGTATAAGTACAATATTTTTAAATTAGATACACTGTTATACATACATTACTTTCTCTTTCGACAGAAGGACTAATCCTTTGATTAACCATCTCACTCACAGGAGTTGGACTTTTTCTCAATTTTGTATCAATAGGTTTCACAGACTTTTTTCCTATAAAAACAATATTAAATCAATTCCATATAATTAATTAAATAGTGTTATTTAATAATTACTTTTTGTTACTAGTTTTTCCTTTTCTTCAGTGTCATATTTAGTAAGAACAACATAAGGCATTGGACTGTTTGCAGATTTCATTGATGCAGACTTATCAATCGATTTGGATCGAGTAATCATTTTTCTATCTAGAGATCTACTTATACTACGACTTCGAGTAGCTGATGTTTTGGTTTTTCTGGGGGTTTTTCTGGGAGTTTTTCTGGGGCTCGTAGATTTCTTTGATTGTGAAACATTTTTTCTTGGAGAAACATCATCTAATGAAGCATCAGCTTCTCTTCTTGATCTTCTCGTTAACATAGCAATCTTAAAAATGATTTTACATATTATATTTCAATACAGGTACAAATATACAAATTCTTAAATAATGTCAACTTAGAATTTTTAAAATAAAATATTACAAAATGTTTATAATAAAAATTGGTATATTCATATAATAGGTAATGATATATTATACATTTTAATATTCTTAATAAAGAATTCCAATAAAATGAATAGCAAATACTTTAGACCAATTGAACCAATCCAGTAAATTGACAATAAATAAATATATTACAGATTAAATATAGCATTTGCAATAAACCGATGCAATATAAAATAAATAAAATAGTGACCTGGGTCAGGAAGGTGGCAGTATTGGATTGATGAAACAGAAAAAAGCAACGGAATTAAATTCAAAGTGTAGGTATTTGAATGCCGGTGATGCGTTTAAAAATTGTGCTGCTGCCAAACCAAACACAAAAAAAACCAGTGAAATATCTTTGAGAATCAACTATATACGATAAAATTTTGTTAACAAAATTAAACATTTAAATGATAAAGGGAGTTAATTACAAGTCTATAGAAGTACATTTCTTACAATAGATTATTTTTATGCTAAAATACTATTTTAACAAAATATTTTATGCGTGGAGTACCGCAAGGTAGGAAGCGTCTCAAAATTAAGTAAAATCCAATAACCAGACGCGTCCGACCTCTAAATTATAAACTTTTAGACATAAATATTATAAATAATTCAGAATTACCTGTATCTGTACGAACTATAAGATTAATAATTCGTACGCCGGAAGTAACAGAAGACTAGCAAGTAGTAAAACTCAATGCACCGCGCAAAAACAAAAACGAGGGAATTTCTTACAAATCGAAAATCATGAAAACGTTAAACGACCCTGGCGCGTAAACAACGATGTTTACATTATGATGCCGCAACGACGCAGGCCATTGGTCGATTTTGAATTATCGGACCGAGTTATTGTCCACCGATAAATTTTCTCCTCCATGTGATGCTGATTGTTAACGGACCGCTGACCAACACGCGTGTTCAATAGGTACCGCAAATCATTTGCATCATTTGCGGTTACCAATCACAGGTTACTAGTTTACCACTTCTACCACACCAAAATCGACGCCAAGTCTTTGTGTCATGGTCATAAGAAACTACATAACAGTGGCGTTACTCCACGTTGCTCATTTGTAACCTACAATTATTTATAGCTATATTGTTATACTAAAAGTTCTAAAAGTTAAAACAATTTAACTTACATAATTTCAAAATCTCTGAGGGTAAATTCGGGGACGGGTATAAATCGAAAAAATGTGTACGTACAGGTAGGTACCCAAAAAGTTAACGAAAAGAACCGAAATATACCTAAGTAAAACGTAATATAAATTTCGCTTAAGATTCATAATAGATCAATATAGTAACGAATAGATAATTCCTCACACTTGATATTATTAATTATGTAAATGTTTACTTTTAGGTGTTTTACCTATAATAGGTTAGGTTGGGTAGTATAGGTTTTATATGCACATCAAAATAAACGCAGTACAAGTTGCACTAAACTTGTAATTTCTTATCAATTGATAATAGTTTAGGTAGGCATATTGTTTTATAAATCATTTGAGATTCAAACATAAATTGAATAGTTTTTTTGAAAATATAATTAAATTATTTACTCATCTGTATTCATGTCGACAAAGGTTATTTTTAGTCTTATCCCATGTGAAGTGGAATGCAAATCATACGACGCCACTCGTATTAAATCTTAATACCTCAAAATAGATAAATTGCCACTCCGTTGGTCTTATATATATATATTATGTACCTACACTGACATATGTATTATTAATGCGTATTACTGACACGTGTGGTCTAAGTAATATTATTAGGTATTTTCAGAAACAGTCTTGTACTTTTGAAACTACAGACTGAGTAGTATATATGACACTCAATGTCGTAAAGGATAACTATCTATTTTTTTTCCTTTAAACAGAAGAAACAAGTAGATTAGGTAGCTCTAAAATCTTACATTTTCGTTATTTTCTTATCATCCTTATGTTTAACAGTGAAGCGGAGAGCCGAAAATAAAACCGCCATACCGTATCTTGAATTTCGAAATGACCAGCCTGCTATAAGTTGGTAATTTTTAAATAAAACTGATAATATGAATTTATTTGAATTCGCAAACAATTAACAAATCACTTCAGTGGGCATATCATGATACGGGTTTAGCGAACCCGAGACCCTGAGCTAGGTGGAAAGCCCAGGTTAATCTTTCCAGAGGCATATGGTATTGTTTCTATATATATATATATATATATATAATAGAGGAATTCACTTTATACCTAGTTGACAATATCCTTCTCCCTGTGGGAGGATCAAAATACTGCTCATAAGAGACGACAAATGAGGTTATGATAGGTTGACAGTCAGTGTAAAATAATTCAAACAGTATGAGAAATTCTCAACAAGACAAAAATCAGTAACTTTATAATTTTGTAAGTTACTTTTAGTTTTCTTATAACTTATAACTTAACAAGTAACTTTTGGTTTGTGTATGAGAGTAACTTAAAGAGTTACTTTTTCTTTGAATCAAAAAAGTTAAAAGTTAATTTTTATAATTTTGCAACACAAAATTTTCAAATTGTCATCAAATTTAATAAAAAATTTCGTCCAGCGTCCATTATTCAACGTCAATAGTATTAACGGCCAAAAAATGCTGATATGATTACTCACATAGGCTATAATACGATTATCACCACTTTTCAAAATAAAATTGTTGTCGACACAAATTATTCATATTGCATAGTCGGGCGATTCGATTATACGATAAAGCAGTGGTGTGTCGAAGTATGTTTTTTTGAGGCAATTGTCTCATGACTAAAATTGATGGGTATGGGTAACAAAATATTTTGAATGTTGATTGAGATCGACTAGTTCAGAGATCAGAAATATCTTTAGTTTTATTTATGATATTATTAATATACCTACTTCTATGATACCCTATAATATGTAGTTAATATAGATTATAGCTAAATAAAGTTGTTGCTGTAATTATTTGTAGGATATCCTCAAAAATCCATGTTTTGATTGAGAGTGTCTTATTTTAGATTTTGAGTGGAGCGAAGAAGTTTATGGTTTTACAAAGATATTTATGTTTTTTTGGGGACAACTTTTCTAACAGAGGACTGTTTTCGATTTTTATGTGTAGTAACTTTTTTACTATTTTTACTTATTAGTTCAGCTGGTATTGAGTCTGACACTGACCGAGGTTGTTTTATAGCCTTTACCGTCTTATTAACAATTATCTTATTGAATTCCAGTTCTGCTTTTTGGTCTTTCCATTCTAATTTTGGCTTCTCTGGCAGATCCATCTCCTCATGGGTAGCCCCTGGGTAACGTCAAAATTTGATTTTAAAACTCATATAAAGACCAAAAAATACTACATTACACTTATTTTTTTTTTCACCACTAAAAAGTACCTTCGACTTATAATGTTAAATGTTCAAACATTTCTGTTTAGTCTAAAAGTTTAATCCACAGAGTACCTACCTAATAAAAATTACGTAAGAAACTCGCAAAAATGTTTATAAATAGCTCAAATGTTTTAAACATTTTATCACTTCTAGACAAAATAAACATGAGTTTTCTGTAAACATTTTTCTAATAACATTTTTAACTGAATTATATTAAAAAAAAAAAATTGAAAATAATAAAAAATTATTTTTGTAAACTGTCCCATTCTTTCTACATATTTTTCAGTTTTACTCAGTTATTAAAAAAATTACAAAGAAAATCTAAAAATGATTTTCTTAATCTCCAACTAAATTGAAATGTCATCATAATACATTTCTTGTTGTTTTTATATTACAGTAATATTTATGATGGAAAACATCGTTTGCAAAAATAAAAATAATTAAACCGAGATACCATGTTGCCGTAAATGTTAATCGATTTTAAGTTTTTGGTTTTTCAAAATAATTATGAATACTACTTTGGATATTAAAAAGCTACTTTCTTTGTCAATGGGTATTTGTTAAAAATAACATATTGATCTTATGTAATTTTTTGATTGGAGCAATACATTTCTAGAAGAAAACATAAATTGCAAAAATTAAAAACAATTCAAATGGTAAAGCCTCGAATGTCGTAAATATTTTTCGTTTTACCCAAAGTTTTCTTTAGAGTTTTTCCCAATTATATTGGAAACGCCTCAGCAAATCTCAAATGACCTCTCAAATGCACTACTCAGAGAAAATTTCCTTTCAGAAAAAGTGCTACACTTAATAAGAAATTAAAAAAAAGAAGAAAAGACCATAATAAAACCAACAGATTCCTTGCTATGCTTCGAACACAGATATATAATATAAAATAATAAAATAATAAAGTAAAAACAAAATTATTAAAATGGTTAATACTTGTAAACAAATAAAGTAAATGCATATATTAATAAAAAATGTATATATAAAAATAAAATAAATTAATTAATTTAATGCGTCACCTGGAGTATTATAAGATATGTAACATTGTATTATATTATATCTGTGACTTCGAATGTAATCGCAATCATTATCATAATTTCGTGTTCATAATACCAATAGTAATATCATATTATAATATGTACAATATTTTTGTAAAGGGAATTATATTGTTGTAACCATTAACATCTTGTATCAATATTTCAATGAGAAAATCTAAACAATTTTCAAATTAATTTTGTGCGACATTTTACCAAAATTATTTTAATTTATCATTTTAATTTTTAAGTAAATAAATGTAATTCCGGGTTGATGCATTTTCAATGCAATCATTTTGATTTCCGATAACTTATCATTTTTCAGTTCCATTAATACTCGTTAGGTATCAGAGTTTTCACTGCCTATTTTCTTCAATCCATTTTATAGGTAAGTGTAGTTGTAATATCTTAATATAGCACAGTTCCTTAGAATAAATCAATTTACTAAATATAATCATTTTTAAATGTATTTTATAGTAAAAATGTTTACTTATTGAATTTCAATGTTGAATTAACAATTCCTGTATACTGTATACTGTATATTATCACTTAGGTATCTATAAAAGCATACTAAAAAATACATCTAAGTTACAAATAATAATTGTATATTTATTTGTATGTTTTTATTTATTGTTTTAAAAAATATAGTGAGCTTTATTAATTTTGTTTTTAAAGGGTACAAATAATTGTGTTTGGTATTTAAGCATTTTTTTTTTTTGTTTTATTAGATTATTGGTTCAATTCAATACTTGTATGATATTGGATTTTCTTTTTGATTGATAAAATGAAGAAGAACTCCGGAGAGCAAGTAAAAAAAAGTCGTTATGGTCGTGTATCGACTAAAAGGAAGTTTGACGAAGAATGTGATAATTCATTAGGCAGAAAAACAGTTATTATTTCAACTAAGAAAAATAAGTCAAAATTACCAGTTTCTTCAGTATCTTCTCCAGCTTCAACATCAAATAATGTTCATTCAAATACACGTAATAATAAAGTAAATGAATTTAATATTGGCGATATAGTTTGGGCAAAGCCTGGGAAGTACCCAGTTTGGCCAGGAATAGTAATCAGTGATCCTAATTTCAATATACATTATAAAGGTAATTTGTAGATATGTAATTTTGTATTTCGTTTTAACAAAATAATTTTTTGTTTATTATCTAATCAATAATTTATTTGTTTTATATATTAGAAGAAAACAATGTTACTATGCTGCATATATACTATTGCAATGATGCGTACAAACGAAATTGGATAAGAATCAATCAAATTTTTGAATTTGTTGGAAAGGACAGTATGTTAAGAGAATTTCCAAAATTAACAGTAAGTGAAACATTTTTAAAACTTTATGTACAACAAAAAAAATATAATAGGTAGACAATTTATTTTTTCGCGAAAAAAGAACATATTATAAAATCGTCAGCTACCCATCAATACCATAAGTAATAGTTATTTTGTGTGTATGTTAGTGTAAATGGCTGTAGTGTTATAAACAATCTATCAATAGTTTTCAAATATTGAGTGTCTACCTGCAGCTTTCAAATAAAAATTGTATTAAATAAATAGAAAACATAGTTTTATTCAGAATATAAAAATTTAATTAATAATACATTAATAAAACAATTATTACTAATGAAATATTTCAGTTTTCCTTGGAAAAATGTCTCATCAATTTCAATAACATACCTATAGCCTTAGGTCACTTAGTGAATTGGTAATCAATCACAACATTGCAGCAAAACATTGTTTCATTTAATTTTTTACTTTTTCGTGATATTCTTTTATGTTTACATAATATGTTAATCATCTATACAATTGTATTTTTTTTTCACTATTACTACTTATAAACTCAAATTATCGCGACATTAATAGGACCATTCAACAATAATGTGATTTCTTTGGCTGGTTCACTGCATATACTTTTTTATGTAGGTAATTCTTAAAAATCTAGTAAATTCTATTAAAGATAATATGTAAAAAAAAATCTATATTATTTATGCAATTTTCAACAGACAATATCTTCTATGGTGAATTTATCATGTATCGTGTATTTTTATGTTTACACAAAATAAGTTTTTTTATATGAAAATTAATTTAATTAATTTTTAAATTTATGTTCAGGGCAATCAATTATATTGTTTAATATTTTATCCAAAAATTTTAAATAAAAAAACGTGGCTCTAATATTTTTATAGTGAATTATTTTATTTCTACGTCATAGCCTGTAAGAGGAACTCTGAATTCAAAACATTGACTGATAAAATTACTTTGAATTTTTTCTAAACCTTGTGTGTGTTTTTGATTACGGATGCCAGATTAGGAGTGCATAATCAAAATGAGAACTGATAATAATTTATACTAATTTATGTATAAATTTTTTAATGCAAATCTATCCTTAACCGCGCACGCATGTATTTTTAGAAGCTTAATTTAGTAGATGCTTTATTTATAATAAATATATATGGTCATTAAAAGAAAGTTTCATATTAAACCTCACTCGAAGATTATCAAGACATTGGGGTTACTTTTAATAAATATATCCATTTCAAAGAGTAATTAGATTTAATAATCATTCTTTTCAATGAAAACATAATCATAGAACATTTTTCCAAATTTAAATATAAATTATTATTTTGACACCATTTATAAATATTATCTATATTAAACTGCAGTTTAATAGTGTCATCAAGAAACCTTATATCTCTGAATATCTATTTTTGCAAATAATTGTCATTTTTCGGCAAATAATAAGGTTTTTTTCAAATATGAAACAATTTCTTTCGTCTATAATAATAAAATGCTTAATTTGATTTTTCAAACAATAAGAGACAAATGATCTCTTTAAGAGACTTTTAAGGTAACATGGATTTGTCTCAAAAGAATGATTCCGTATTTAATAATTTATGTATAGTCTGAAATTAATAAATGAAACTATGAAAGAAGTGGATCAGTAAACTCATAACTGTTTGGTTTATTTATTTATAATTTATGGATTATCCTGTCAGAGGCTTTTCCATGTCAGTATAAACAACATCAGTTTGGGATTGAGTGTTAAATTATTCTGATATTGATTGTTTAAATATGCTTAAGTTTGTTATTGTTGATCTATTTTTCCTAAAATTATATTGGTAATTTGATAATAATGGATTACATTACAGTATTATAATGCTATTGATTATTTTAGAAAATAATTTGGGAATTATAGATAGTTTAAATACTTGGAAATTATTGTTTATTAGATTCTTATTACCTCTTTTGAAAATGGGGGTAATAAACGATTACATCCATTGATCTGAAAAAATACTTAAGTGTAATGAATTATTAAGTAATGGAGTGATGACTGGCGTAAGTTTGAATACACACTCTTTTAAAAATATTAGAGATATTTTATCTTGTAAATTGCTGTTTTGAAATAAGTATAACACAATTCTTTAAAAATGTCCATCTGCTTCAGTCCAATTTTCAAAATAAGGTTTATATTCTGATATTGGTGATTATAAGAAGTTTCCATAGTTCGTACCAAATTTAAATTTGAGTCTAAAAAATGATTCCATAACTATGTTAAACGTACTAAATTATCATTAAAAAAAATCTCTGTGACTTCTGGTAAACAGAGAGATGCTGATCTTTTGCCTCTTACTTTTCCTCTGTGTATTTAAATAACTTGACTAAACGCAATCTCGATAATTTGATTATTCCATTCTTTGATCTACCTAACAATGTTTCCAATAGTCTTGATGATGTCTATAATTGCCTATCTGCACTTCATGGTTTATCATCTGTTGGTACTGATAGTCTCTCCAGTAAATTTATGTTGCAGCTGAGATTTATTATCTTTTACCCTCTATGGACTCTTTTCAATAGATCTTTAAATGAAGATGTTTTTCATTTAATTTTTAAATACAGTTCTGTTAATCCTAATTTTAAATCATCCTTCTTCAGTCTTAAATTACAGACCTATTTCAATCCAATTGCATATTATACAAATATTTGAATCTCTGGTTCTAAAGAAAATCCAAATTCCAGTTAATAATATTTTAATGGAGGGACGACATGTATTTTGTCCTAGTCGTTTCACTTCAACATGCAATCTCCTATTTAATAATTTTGTATTTGAATCATTTCAACAGCGGTTGTAAGTTGATGGTGTTTAAACAGACTTCAGCAAAGCTTTTTTATTTAGTTAATCATAAGATTTTAATTAATATTTTTAGTAGTTATGGTTTTTAGAACCTTTTTTTGTCATGGCTTACTGCATATCTTAGTAATCAGTTTCAATGGGTAAATATTTTTTTGGAACCAAGTCCAATTTATTCTTAGCATCTTCTGGCGTTTCTCAAAGTGGACACCTGTGTTTTTTTTTTGTAAATAATATCAGTCATGTATTTGGTCACTCGTATTCTCTGCTTCTCTGATGATATTAAACTCTGTTTGCGTGTTGGTTCAATTAATGATTGCCTTTCTAAACTGATCTGGACAGGTTTATAGATTAGTTTGGAAATATTTGCTTATTCTTAAATATATCTAAATGTAAGGTTCTAATTTTCACACACAGTCATTTGCCAATAATCCATTCCTATAATATTTTATGTTCAAATATTTTACGTGCTGATAAATACGTAATTGATCTTGGTTTTAAACTTACCAGCCACATATTGACATGGTTTGTTATAAGGCCTTGAAAATTCTTTAATTTACTCTTGGTTTTTTAAGGATTATAAATTAGATTCCTCATTTAAACTACTCCATTTTACCCTAGTCCAACCTATATATTGGAATATGGTGTAGTTCTCTGGTGTCTGTATACTGCTTATGATTCTTTTAACTTGAAAAAGTCCAGCATCGGTTCCTTTGTTCTGCTGCTTTCTTGGTAGGCATTGAACATCCTTCATATGATTATTCTCCTGTTGCTGCTAAATTAGGACTTGTATCTTTAGCTAAACACAGGTGTATGTTTTGCATAAAGTTTCTAAAAGGATTGTTGCCTGGCCAAGTTAATTCATCTGATTTATTATCCTCAATCAACTTTCTTAATCAAAGGTCCCTTGTTAAATTCGTTCTGCTGTTCCTTTTTATGTCCCTATATGTTCAAACAATTATATGAAAAATGACCCTATTAGGCGTTTAATGTTGATGGCCAATAAGGATCCTCTATTGATTTTAAATTACACCATATTTATGTTAATTTGTTAATATTAATTTAGCTTAATTTTTTAATTTTAAACATATTTATCTTAATTTTTAAAAATGTTTAATTGAATTTACTTATCTATTACAAGTATTTTTGTAGTTACTGTAATTATGTAACTGTACAAATTTTCAAAATTTCTGCCTGTTTAAAATATTTAAAAGATGAAAGTTAAAAAATAATTCATGAAATGATTGTTCAAAATTATTTTTCATTCATATTTGTATTTGGCTACTTTATTTTTGCTCTTTTACTTTTATTCTATTATTGAGATGTTCTATTTAACTGATCAGCAAAAACTAGTAATCTGTCCAAACCCCGTGGCACGCAATTTGGATATGTCTTGTAAAATAGGCATGTACACTTCAGTTATCGGCTAACATTATATTTTTTTTGGCATGCAATTCAAATGCAATCGTTATAAGTATAGTAAATAATTTACAGTATGATGGATAAAAGCAGCTTTTATTGGCGGATTAAATCTATCACTAGACTCTATTGGATTTATGCATTACTTTATATCGACATTAGTAATAATTGTTAAGATTTAATTTAACATATTGTTGTTATGATTTTTAATATTATATATTTGTGAACAATTTAAATAAGCCAGTTAATTATTGAAATAAGAATAAAATTTTAAAACATTTGCCAATGGTAAATTAAAATCACCAAACAATAAGAAAATCTCATTTTTAAATTTTTGACACAATAGTTCAAAATATTCATTAAATAATCCTTCATATTTTGATTTAATATGCATATAGAGCTGATAATAATAGTGAGATTAAACATTTTTATAAGTACAAATAAAAATTTGATACTATTATTTACAAGCTTAAAATTAATAGTATTTTTAATAGCAATAAGTACAAAATCACCTCTAAATAATGAACTCGATTGACTTTTTCTGTCGTATCTAAAAACATTGTTATAAATAAAAAATTCAGTTGACCTAAAGTTAATTTTTTTAACCAAGTTTCAGTAAACATAAATGTATCATATTGTACCCGGAGCTTTTAAATATAACAGTTTATTATTTAATCTACGATCATTTTGATACTAGAAATTTAAATTTTTAATTAGTGAGTGGTGTGCTTATCATTTTTTTGTATTAACAATTTTTGGAATACCTTTATGTATTTAACATTTACATCGTGTTTCTCATTTTTCTTAATTGTTGTAACATCCTTCTAATATCTGCCATTTATTTTAGTTTTTTATTTTTTTGTAATAACAAAATAGTAAACACATCCAATTGATTTGTATGATGAATTTTTGCGTTGAAAATGGAGTATTGAAGTCTTTTTTAAATTTTCTTTGTTACAATAATATCAACTACCTATAAAAACAAATCTAATTATTAATTAGAAATCAATTTCACTATGAATGCTTATTACACTTCACAACATGATATTTAATTGTTTGACATAATAATTATTAATTATACTACATTGGATTATATTTATTGTAACAATATAGTATTACAAGATCTATACATTTCATTCAATAAATATTATACTAATCACTAAGTATATTATAATATTATACAAATTATGATGTCTTAGATAGTGATGGGCACTTACTTGGTACCTGTGTATTTTTTGGGGTAAATACCGGGTTTTTATTTGATGAATTAGATAAATTTATTTATAGTGTAATACACATATACAGCAATGCAGTGTATGTAAAAAATTGTTTTTTTAATACTTATACTGATACTCATACTTCATAAATTTATATTTTATTTTTATAACGGAACGAGCTGTAGTCCAATAAATTAACATAACAATCAGACTTTACTTTTCCATTTAAATATTACAATTTAACAAATTAATGAAAACTTGTTTTTTTTTTATAACTTTAGTCATAAAATAATTTAATCTTCATTCTAAAAATACAAAAATCCTGTATGGGCCACCATTTCGGGATTGAATTTTGTAAATCTGGTTGTGTAATTCACATACACTCATCTATCTGTTTCTATAGGTAAATTTGTATAACTAGTCATGTGATAAATTCAGCTGTAGACGACTCTCAAACAAATAGAGAGACACTTCCTTTTATAGCTATAAATTATTAGGTATTGGAAAAAACCAGACATATTTTACACAATGATAGGTACATGTAAATAATTTGGCCATTTACCATAAAAAATGTTATTCGTAAATAATTATCTAACTTTGTATTATTCTTTATGTACAATATTCAATTTTTAGAAGTACTGAAAAATATACAAACTGATGTGAAAAAGAAAATTTGATTAAGTTTATCATTAAGTTTGAAAAAATCCTAATAATAATACCTAATAATTGTTTAATTTTTATTATTGGTATTTTCTGAGCTAGAATGTGTTATAACAATGTTTTTATTCTATTTTGATAATATTTATTTTGGACACCAGTGTTTTTGTGCATATTTTTTTCATTCAAATACTCTGGTTAGATTTAATTATTTTGTGTTATAATATTGATAATATTTTGTTTTTTCAGTATCATAGTTAAATTTCTAAAATAACACTTTGATATAAATATTTAAAAAATGTATCATTTGAGAACTTTAAACTATGATGTATTTAAGATCTGCTAAGTTATTAATGTAAATTAATTTAAAAATTTTTCTATTTCAATTTATTGGAAACTTAAAATATTGTTCTCCAATTAATCTATTGCTGTGTTGTACAAAATTAATTATTATTATTATTATTTTTTTTAATATACATAAAAGGCCAGATTGATGTATTAATAATTAAAATGTTTACATTAAACTAAAACAATAACATTTTTCTAATTTTATTTTCAGACACATGTAACCCGAAGCAAAATAAAATCAAAATGGAATAGAGCAGTAGACGAAGCAACATATCTAACAATGATAAACAGGTAAGATATTAAATTATAATAATACAAATAAAACAAAATTATATCTCATAAAAAAATTATTGTTATTTTTGATTTATATAATTTATTATAATTAATGATTAAAATTGTATTTCAGAGAGGATCGAATAAAAGCATTTTTTTCTAATACTTTTTTACATAATATTGAAATGACGAACAATGCTCAGGTAAAATGTTAATTGTCATATAATCTATTTTATATTTTTAAGTTACCAAAATGTTTGCTTTGGTTTATGACCGTAAAGTGAATATTGTTTTTATCATAGACTAGCCATTTTCTCAGTATATGAATTTTTACTATTTTTATCTCGAGTCGTTTTAAATAAATTATACCATATTATGTTTATTGATTATATAATATAATTAATAATATGTTGATACCTATTAAAGATAAAAATTAGTTTTTTTCATTTTTTTTATATTTAATTAATATGCTAATTTAATATAATTTTGTTTATAAAAACAAAAAAATCATAAATATTATAATTAAATAGAGAGAATGACTAATCCATGATCAATAATTTATTTTATTTATAGGAAATGCATAGAATTATTATTAATGTTAGTTTGATGATTCTGTCTCTTTTTCTTCTTCACCTTTACCTTCATCAATTATTTTGGGTCTGCCACCTTCTTCTTACACTTCTACTTAACTCAATCTTCTGCATCATCCTCGCATACATTGACGCATCTCAATCACATCCAACCAACTTTTATTGTTTATTTTTAATTGTCAACTTTTATAACATATTTTTTTTCTACTTCATCTCCTCTTTTTTACATTAAAATATCATATTTATTAATTATTCTTAAATAAAATGAAAGTAATTGATTAAGTAAATTTACAAGCAGTTCATAATATTATCTATAAAATAAATAATATTAATCTATCTATGTATTTTATTTTTACCTATATTTCCCTGTGTAAAATTTAACTTATTTTTACCTAAGGGCAAGGTTCAGTAATAGTGGGCCAAGTCCATCTCGTGGAGAGAAAATAAATGGTCAATCAATCTTTTTTTACTTTAACGCTGTTGTTTGTTTTCATTATTTGTCTCTGTTTAGAGCCAGAATATTTGAGCCCGTCCAAATATAATCTATATTTATGATGTATTTAGTAATTACGATGGCAAATATTGTTTGTTAACTAATACATTTTTTTTTCCTGGAGGTGTAAATAATGGAGAACTCCAAATAATAGAGTTGACAGATTGTTGGTTTTTTTTTTTTTTTAGCCTAACTCCAAAAGTATATGGCCCTTGAAAAAATGTTTTCAAATTATCTTACTACCCTTAGAAATTAATTGCCAATTTCTGCCTTAAAGCATTGAATATTATTATTTTTACTTTTCCTAGGGACCCACGGGACTCATTTTATTTGAAAATCTTTGACTGCCTAATATTTGCAATTCATATATTATATATATTTTAATTCGGACCATGGAGTTGCTCATGGATTAATTATTATATTTTATATAAGTGTGTAATCAAAATGAAATGATTGTAGAATATGATGGTATATTTTCATAAATACATTCATACCATAACTTAAATATATATTACCCATTTTTTTATAAACCAACATTTGATTATTAACGAATAACTATTGCATTATAATTTATGATAATACCTTTTTTTATGTACTATATGAAATGTGATTATTGGTATTTTTTTTTTTTTACATTATCAATATTAATTCCTAACACAACATTCATTATTCTCAGAATTTCTTTAATTATTTGATTTATTAAAATTAAAATAATAAACAAAACAATTAAATAATATGATAACATTTATGTAGATATTTTTATTTTTACATAATTAACTCGGCTAAACATATTTACAGAATAAAAAGCCATCTATTGAACAATCTGAAAACGATCAACTATCAGCCATTTACAATCAACAACCAGCCATTGAGAATCAACAAGCAACAATTGAAAATCTACCATCAACTAGTTGTAATTTACAAATTAATACAAACTTATTTGATGATGATTTTAAACAAAATATAACCAATCATGAGGTACAATATTTGGTTAGTGAAAACTTTAATTGACCTTAAAATTAATTTTTATCAGTAAGCATTTATACTTTGTTAATTATTTGAAATCGTATAATTTCATTAATTGTAATGTTTTGCATAGGTGTGTAAAATAGATTTAGATAATACTAATTGAGAATTTTTGATAAGATAATAAAAAAAAATTGAACCATTCGGATTAGTTCTCATTGAAGTTAACTTAATTCAATCAAATATTTTTACTCGGTTTATGTTAAATTTAATTAAAAAGTTAAAATTAATATACATTATTATTTATATTTTGCCTGCTTTTAAAAATATGGATTTTCAGGTCAGTATCAAAACCTACTCAGATTTCACATATTTTATCATAAACATCAAAATATTCTTAATATTACAATTCATCAATGGTTCTGAAGTTTTATTTGACATTTTTTTTTTTACATATTTACTAATTTCTTTAAAATGTACATATTGTAATACTTAATATTGATTTTAATATTTAAAATTAATAAATTATACAGTATTATACAGTTTCCTATAGTGTTATCCTTGTGTTAATAATTTTGACAATATTCATTTATTTTTATTTTTTTATTGGGTTTTGTGCGAGGTGGACACATATTCATAAGTTATTTTTTAAAATATGATTCTAAAAATTTGAATGTATCATACATGAAAATAATTAATTTTCAATAGAATAACACGTTATGCGATAAGGAATTACAATCAGCACAGTAATTCCTTATCTTATATTAAATATTAATTGTTTTCACACCTATTCTCTATATATAATAGTTACTATAAAAAAGAAAATATTAATTGGATATGAATGTATGATTCATTATAATTTTTTTAGAATAATATATCTTTGAAACTTACTATTTTGAAAATTTAGAAAGTGGAAAAATCAAAAATAATTTTTCATGAAGGGATTAAAATAAAAATTTAATTTGTCTCTACACATGTGTTCCCCCTCGCAAAACACCAAATTAAAAGAAAAAAAATGAATAATGATAGAGATAAGGATAACACTGTAAGTCACTTTATGTTTTATATATTTTTGTCAACCATATATGTCATAGAATATTCATATTTTTAGATTAGGTAACATGATTTTCATGCATATTCATTATTAGATTTAGAGCATGGCGAGGGTACTATTTGTTTTACTTACGTGTTTTTTTTTATGTGTCTATGAACAACTTTTTGACCAGAAAACTTATTCCAATCAAAAACTAACAAGAGACCTTCTATGTTGCATTTTGGATCTATTGGTGCATTGAGGAAGTCATTTTTTTTATATTTTTAGAGGTTTTCATAATAATTGGAAAAAACCGCAAAAGAAATTATTGTGTTCATGTATCCATCCTTCTCAACTTTCCATCTTCGACAGTATCATCTTTTTATTTTATTAGTTCATTTAATTATATTCAAAAAGGAAAATCAATGTAACGAAGAAGTCAAATACAATGATCAAATATTTTTTTAAATATCTACTCATTTGTATACTTATATAATATGGATTATCAATTGTATTTGTATTTAGAGTTTAACAATTTATTGAACATTGCTGGCCCTTATTGTTTTTTTTATTTATATTAAACCATTACTATTCATATTGTTATTTATGGAATAGCTACACAGTATTAACTTTATAATGGTAACTTTTAAAACAAATATTGGTAGTTTATATTTTATATTAAAAATTAAATTTAACCTAACCTCACCTATAAAAATGAAATAGAATTAAATTTAAAAAAGTAGATAATTTGCCTTGGGTAGGTTGGTTCTGTCCTAATTGTTTAATGTAGCTTTAAATAATATAAAAGTAAATTAAATATATATTGTTTTATTGCAGAATTATAAAAAAGAACATCCAAGAGTTTTGATACCAGAACTTTGCAGGTTGTTTTATTTGAATGGATGGGTAACTGGCACTGGTGGTGGTATCAGTATCAAATACGAGTAAATAATTTATATTTAATTATGTATAATTAATTAATGTACATGTCTAGATTATTTAAACATAGCGTTATTTTAAAAATTATGCCGTTCATGTTGTATGTGTCCTACCTAATTGATTTTTGTTATTTTACAAGTATATATTATAATTAAGACAACAATAAGGATAGACATAACATCTATCCTAATTCCACCCCCCTAAAACCACTCTTGACTGAAAAAACTACCTAGATATTGTTCTAACTTGACCTATGGAAACCATTCTATATGATACTTGTACTTAAATATTATTAAATTGATGAAACCCATCTCATGTTAAATTTTTAAAAATGTGCGTCTCCTAGAGTTTTTTTACACCTTTAGATAGAGCTTAAATAATAATAGGTCATTTTAGAAACTCAACCCCTTAAGAATTAATAAATGGTGTCAAAGGTAGTATGGAAAACTAACTATACCTATTAAGATTTTAGTTTTTATGTATGGGTGTAAAATTGAATGATTTCACTGATTGTAACTTTAAGGAATCATAGAATTATTATTATAATATTGTTGGTTATCTGTAATAATAATGACAAATGTGAGTAGATTTTAAAATTAATTAGATTCAACAAGATTATTATATATTATGTCCATTTGTGATTGAAACATGGATTGGCATTGGATAATGGGTAGGTATGTCACAGTAGTTATTAAGTTGGTATCAGATACACACCACATACAATATGAATACCCAAATTCCTTGAAAAATATTTAAATTTTATATTTACTTACCACCCATTATAATTTTGATGTGTACATTTAATTAAGGTGTAGTAATAGAAAATTGCATAGGTATTAATAATCATTTTATGTTTTAGAAACCATATTTATATCGCTCCATCTGGAGTACAAAAAGAGAGAATACAACCTGAAGATCTTTTTGTTCAAGATATCCATGGTGTTGATGTTGAATTGCCTCCTCCCGAGAAGAACTTTTCAAAGAGTCAATGTACTCCAATATTTATGTGTTCTTATACTTGTAAGTTATTGTCAAAAGTATATTGAGTTTATAAAATAATGTTTGTTGAACAATTAATATAGTGCGTGATGCAGGGGCTGTAATCCATATACATTCATTAGAAGTAGTAAAACTATGTTTACTGAGTCCTGGAAAAGATATACGTATTAATGATTTGGAAATTATTAAAGTGAGTCAATTGTATACAGTTATAAACAATAAACTAAATTATTTGAAAACATTTATCTTAAGGGCATTTATAATGAAGAAAAAGGGAAATACTATGATAACGATGAAGAAGTTGTTATACCCATTATTGAAAATTCAAAGTATGAAAGGGATCTAGTTGGCACATTTAAATTGGCATTAAGAAAATATCCGATGACTTCAGCAGTTATCGTACGTAATCATGGAATGTACGTCTGGGGTAAAGATTGGCAGTCTGCTAAAACACAGTGAGTGTACATTTTTACTGCCACAATTTAAGATTTATAACAATAATTTAAAAATTTCTTACTGTGGTATTTTTATTATATTTGTTTTGCATTCACTTATTTAAATATTAATTTATTAATTTATACACTTTTAATGAATTTCAGATGTGAATGTTATGACTATGCATTTAAAGTAATGATTTTCAAGAAGCTCAATCGCCTTTAAATCTTATAAAAATATTTTCTATTTTATTAATTTTCTTTTTAATGTATGTTAATAATTAGTTACAAGTCAGAATTCATAATTCTGGAGTTTATTATATATTCAAAATGACTAAATTTGCTAATACTTTAAATTATCTTATATTCATTCTCATATATTCAATTACTTATATAGAATATGTGTTAATTGTTAATACTATCCCTATAGATGAAGTACAAATATAATATACATTTATCAAGTAAATTTGAATTTACAAGTTTTTTTTTCATAAAAGTATATTTAAATAAAATAATTAAATTTCTATTGTAGTTTAATATTTGTAAACAAAGAAATGTATTGAGTGTCCTCGGGATGCTATTTAGTAAAATAAGTCATTTGAGAAACAAAAAAATATGGTTAAGAAGTATAAACTACAATATTTATTACTTTTCATTTCACATAACTTTATTAATTTTATATAATAAGTTTAATTACTCTTCTTTAAACTTAAATACTAAAATTGTATACAAAATAATAATTTGATTTTATAAATATTTATTATTAATATAGTGTTTTTTGTGACGTACTGGTATACAATGCAATATTTCATGCACAATTTGGATATTATACTACTTTAAATTTTTTTTTCTAACCGGTTTATTTTATATTCTTTGTGGAGTAAAAAACTTATGGTTTAACAAAGATATTTTTTATCAGTTAACAACTCTTCTAATAAAAGACTTGTTCGGATTTCTAAGTGTAACAACTTTTCTAAAAATATATCAGCGTGAGGAAGTACTTATTCGATTTTCTCGTTAAATTTGAAAAACTGGAAAATTTAAGAAATGCAGGTTTTAGTTAAAATATATTATGGCCTTTTTTCTACGTTTCTGTAAAACATAGCAATGTTTTTAAAAGAAAATTTCAGTAGGGAGGTACTTTAGAGAGGTTGTTTTTCAATTTTCTCAGTTTTCCAGCAAATGTTAAAAAACAAGAAAAAATTTAGGGAAATTGGAAAAATGTGTACATTTAACAAATATTATTAAAGAAAATATTTAAAGCCTATTTAATTATTTTACTATAAAATGACGTATTTTGTTGACAAAGCATCACTATCAACTGAACAGTATTATTTTTTTGCTATGGTTTATCATTGATTACAAATATACATTAAATTATCTATAACAGTGGCTGCACCTGTCTTAATTATCCTAGGATGTCTTTTTTTTAATTTAGACTTATTAATAAATAAATTGACTTATAGAAACCATAGTTTCCAGAAAAAAACTCAATTTAATTTTATATTATTTTTATTTGATGTACAGTTACTTCTCTGTATACCAGTGATTTTTTTGTATTTGTATTTTTAGATTTGGAGTGGAGAGATCTATTGGTTTTATTGTAATTTTTATTTTTATTATTCTATCTTTAAATAACTTTTTGCATAAAAGACATGGAACAATCTAAAGCCGAGATTTGTTTTGTTACATTTTAATCTAATTAATGAGGATGTAAGTCATCTTTTTGATTGATTTTTCAAGTAGTTTTCATGATTGGAAAAAAACAGGGAAAAGATACAAAAAGAAAACTGACAAATTTACGGTTATGATTACGTTATTTTAATTTTTATACCATTTTCAACCAAAAATATTACTAAAATAGAAAAATGAGCAGACTTTTTTGTTTCATTTAGAATCTTTGTGAGTAAGAAAGTTATTGTTGGATTTTCCATTTAGTTTTCTTAATACTTGAGCAAAACTGGAAAAAATGGTTTCATTGTTTTCAAATTTGTTTTTTTGTTGTAATTCAGTTAATAATTGTAGACTTGAAATTTCTTAGATAATTTATATTAGACATGACATATGTTTTCAAAACATTTTGGCTATTTTGAGTGATTTATAGACATTTTATTTATGAATGTGTTACGTGTAGTTTTTATTTTTTAGGTCATTATTAATTTGTATTTACAGGAAAAAGAACCAAAATCGGAATTTACACACTTTCTATTAGAATTAATGTAATATTTGAATATAAAATTGGTTCACCAAGACTCCATACAAATCGAAGCAAATATCCAAAATTAATCGAAAACAAACCCCGATTTATGATACAAAACCAATCAGGCAAGATTTCCTATATATATATTAATATACACCCAGGCCACGTTTCTGAAAATGGTTATCATTTTTGAAAAAGTGCCAATGTTAAAGAAGTTTCAAATTGCTGATTCCAGCAATCGGGTAGTCGAAAAGCTCAAAAAATGTCTATTCTGAAAGTTGGTAATGCTTTTTATAATTAGCAAACGCAGATAATTAACAGTTATAGTGCAACAAAAAAATTTGTTCTTGGAAATATTATAAAAATAGTTGTAAAGTTCACATTAATTTTTCTCCTGTATAGATATATAATTTTCTAACCTTTATTGCATTTACAATTTACTTGTAACATAAATCTTTGTACAGATTTTCTGTTCATATGAAAAAATGAATTCGCGGGGATAAAGTGAAACTTTTTTCAGTCAATCAACTAATAGAATGAATATTAGGTTTATATTGGAGTTAAATAAAAAAAAAACACCGAAAAATTGTTTTCCCAATATTTAAACAATGAAGAAAATTGAGCCATCAGTGATTGCACTTCTCCAGTTTAATTTTATTAGCTTTCCCAAGGCACTATTTGCAAACCATATTTTAATAATATATTTGATTATCGGTTGTTACGATTATTCGTGAAGACACAAAAATGAAAAAAGCAAAATAACTTTGTTGCTCTACAGGAATCGAACCTGCTCCATGAACTGATCACTACGTTTTCTTAACATATATACCAAATGTAGTAATTCTTAGGTATAATATAACATAAAAGTAATAAAACTGTGTGAGATTGGCAATTAATTTAAAGCTATGAATACTAAAATGCCTTACCAGAACAAAATAAAGGAAACTAATTATTAAATCACTATTATATAAAAAAACCGGTACAACATTATACATTGAGCCCATATGGCTGACAAATTAATAGTCTATTGACCTAACTTAAAAGAATAAATAAAAATGACATTTTTTTGTTCTATTCATTATAAGTACAAAATAAAATATTAGTTTGTATGTTTATACAAACCTTGATAATTAACAATAAATTAATAAATTATTATAGGTGTAATATCAAAAAAATAACAATTAACAACTATAATTAACTTAAGTTTCTAAAATTCTAAGTATTTACTTAGGTATATTTTTATGATAAATTAAATATTTATTGTACGCCGACTGTATTCGATGGTGGTCACTGGTCGTCGGAAAAATGATAAATATAATGAAATGGGCAAACTTGTAATAAAATGTAAAATGAAAAACCATATTTCATTTTATAATCCAATATTATCTTAAGATAACAAAAACGTTATTTTCCACTAAAGTGTTACTGGTCATATACAAGTTCGACTCTATAAATAAATTTCCTATACATTGCGTATTGTGTGAGTGTGTTTGGTGATGATATGATGATAGCGCATGCCAGTAAACCGATGCACTGGTGACTGGTGCTATATGCAAAAGAGGCAGTCTGTGATGGCTGACCATGGTACACAATAATGTTTCATTTCAATTAGATTTACTTAGAAATTAATAGTTATTGACTTTATAATGAACTGGAATTAAATAAAATAATTATATTTTATGCTTAAACAAAACAATTCCTATACTTAACAATAATTAACAATAATTTGATTGTGTAACAAACATATTGAATAAAAAATGTTTTAAGTACAACTATTATAAATTAATACTGTCAACAAGTCAATGTTTTATATCCAATAATATGGTAACCCCTTCCTCATCATTAATTTTAAAATTTAAGGTTTTAAGTAAATCATTGCCATTCATTTTTGGTTTTTACAAAGAAGAAACAAAATAAATTATTTTAATCAAATGGTAATGGAATGCTTGTGTATTGCATTATTGGACTGACCATCTCCACTTGTAACGCTGTGGCCATGCTATCTGTGGCACTGTCGGTTTCTCCCAAACTCTCCAATACTTTACCCAAGTTGTACCTATAATTTTAGTTAAACTATTATATCATAATAAATTCAAAAATTATAATTCATATACCATGTTTCCGGAGCACAGGGATTTATCTTCGCTGCATCCCGTAATGTTTTTTCAGCTAATCGATGACTTCCGAGATAATGATACATTAAACCCTGTAAAATAAAAAATAAAAATAATAAATTGTTCATAATCAACATTAGCCGTGTTTTGGCAATGCAATTTTCTGAATTGTTCGCTGTATTTTGCTAATTGGTTGGTTACTCGCCAAAACGTTTTGTTTACTGCATAATATTTTTTGTTATATAAAATGAATAGAATAATTGAATGATCCTATCAGTAGATTATTAGTAACTGAAAACAGTAAATATAGTTTTAAATTGTTTGCTGATTCCGGCAACCCAGTTGCCGAAAAGTGCATTCACCTATCAAAAAATTACAATAAACAATGTTACCAAAACAGTTTGTTCGCTACACTAGTAACCTGGTTACTCAAAACTGCATCGCAATAATATGTGTGTTTAATATTAATTTATCATTATTACCAAATGTTGTAAACTTTTCAAATGGGCTGGATGAACTGTAACTGCATTTTGATAGCACTGTTTTGCTTCATTGAACTCGTTTCTTTTTTCATGAAATAATCCTCTCTGTGGAAATAAAAATTAAGAAAAACATTTCATTTATTGAAAATTAGTCATTTTTGAGTAAAAAATAAAATAAAAAATTTGAACTCATAAAAATCTAAATAAAAACAGATAAAATATAATATAATAATGAAAACTAAAATCTACCTACAAAAAAAAATTTAATACAGGAAAGCTTAGCCAGATGATTTATTTAACATCATTTACCATAAACATGATGTGGTGTGATAATGGAAAAATACTGGCTGCTTCCAATAAACAATTATTTGCTGAATCAAACTCTTCTTGGGACAAGTATATCTCAGCTAAAAGTAACCATACATTTTGCTGTGTGTGCCATACTGTATTGGTCACAGGTCGTTGGGGTACCAGTGAACTAATAGATGATGCTACTTCTGATAATGCTTGTTCAATACGTGCTGGCCCCAACGAATCTACTCAATGTGTAATTTTATTTTCTTAATACAATTAATAAATAACTGAATAATTTACTTGAATCTTTGTCAGAATGTTCGGTTGTATAAAGCTGAAAAATACTTTTATTGTCAGTATGTTCTATAGAAGGAGAACCTCCTTCGTTACTGGCTGAAGCTTTACACATAGAAAGCATATGTTTAGCTGTTACAAGTGCAACCTTTAAAAAAATTATTTTATTCACATGTATACATATGTATAAAATATTCAATAACAATTATTATTAGGTATTTTAATTACATCGGAACCTTCTGTCTGTAATTCAATCCTAGCTCTTATAAATAGTAAACCAATATGATCCGGAAAATCGTCCAAAGAAGATTCTAAGAGAGTTTTAGCTTCATTAATTTTTTTCTGAGCGCTCAACAGTAATATAGACAATTGTAATGATGGTATATGTTCTGGGTTCAATGTTAGAGCCTGGCGTACTTTTACTGTAGCATCAGGCACTTTAGCCAAACACGCATAATAAAATGCCAAATAATAATAAATTAAATGATCATTGGGATCTAATTTCTGGGCTCTAAAATAAATAATATGTTAAATATTATATTAACTATGATTAAACAATTTTAATTATTAATTGTTTACTTTGTGAGAGATTCAAAACATAAAACATGATATTTATCTTTCACAGATTTCAAAAATGATGTCAAAGCCATACACTGGGCTCCAATACCTATATACAGATGACACCTTGATAATAAATTCTGAGACTGTGTTTTTTCTCTTTTAAGTGCTTCTTGGCTCCAAATTAGTCCTTCTTCCATCTAGAATACAAATTATTTAGTATTTTCATTTGATTTCATATTTTATAATTAAATATAATCAATAAAATAAAACCTTAAATAAGTGTTGATAACAAATACGAGCAGCTAATAAACATGGGACAATTGCGTTTGGCTGCATGCATATAACTTGATCTAATACTTCTAAAGATTTAACATGACGACCAGCAGCTTCAAGGCACAAGGCTTGTTGCATCCAAACATGAGCATCATCAGCAGAAAACTTCATTGCTCGTTCAAAAGACTAATCAGATTTAATAATATTATACTTAAAATGGACCAAATAAATAAAAATAAAAACCAACCTCGTATAACACATTGTACTGTCCCCACAGCACTAATGCAAAAGTAAGCAGATCATAAATAGCTGTGGCTAAACTAAAAGCTCTAATTCTTGCTTCTTTGAATTCTGGTGATTGACTAAGTACTGCATTTCTGGCTGCCATAGCCTCACTATTTAAGGAACAGTGCTGTTAAATTTAAATAATTGTTTGTATATACTTTTGATAATTACCTTATAATAAGTAATAATATTATCTCTTCGTGTTCACTTCTAGGCATGAACATATTTAAAGTATTATACTTTTTTGGTTTTCTGGTGTTAGATAATTGTTTTTTAGAAGGAGCTAAAGTAATAATCAGTTTAATAAGTATAGTTATTTAATATTTTACTCTAATAATTTCAATGCAAAACTTACTGTTTTGAGTAGGCAACGAATAATGTTTTGGAGATACTTTGCGTAGTAAAAATTCAGCAAATTGGTATGTCAAAATAAGTCTAATGGAATGACTACCGTGAGCTTCACAAGCCGATAATATATTTCTAGATAGGAATAATACAATTTGTATAATAAATTATATGTAATGACATATAAATTTGCTAATTGTTATACCTAAACGTATTTATGGCACCAGAATAATTTGAACTGTCAATTAGTAATAATGGTAACCTCAATATGGCTGTTTCAACTAAAATACTTAAAGAATGTGTCATGTTTACCGGTTGAGGGGAATGAGATCCTGTAAAAATAATTCATTACTTAAGAGTTAAAAATTTTAAAAAATTTAAATTTACAAAATATACCGGCAGCAGAATTAGCATTAGAATTTGAGATTGAAGGTGCATTACCACCAATCGGTGATGGCAGCATGAGCTGATTTTCTTTATAATCTAGTTCTTGCAAATACAAAATACCTAAATTAGTTGCTTGTTCATAGTTTTTGATAACACCTTCAATCCATTCAGTTTTTTTGAAACGTGAACTAGAAGATGGTCGTAATTTTTCTTGACATAAACCTAAAATAAATTAAATTAAATAAATAAATAAAAAAAAAAAATTAAATTTTACAAGTCAATAATTTTAAAATAAGATTGCATTAAGCTAGGTAGGTACTCATCATACCTTTGACTGCAAATGACTCTCCCAATATTCTTATATTACGAATTTGTAAATCTGTTTGTATTACGGAGTTTAATTTGGCCTCTGTACAATGTTGCATCGCCTCATCATAATTACCACAAGCATAACATAATTTAGCAAGTAACATATGACCATCAATACTCATACCTGCCTAGAAATTAATTTTATTTAGTAAACAATGCACATTAAATTCTAATCAATAATTTAATACTTGTGTAGAAAGTTCACTAATTGATTCGGTTAAATATGATTTAGCTTCAATAAGACCAGTTTTTGCTTTTGCAATATTACTCTCAATTGGGGGATTTTCTTCTAAAAACATCTCTAATTTTGCTTCACCAACCATTAAATTGTACAGTAATGCTGAATATGAAAAGAAAAACAAAATTATTATATTATTTTGAACACAGACATGTAATGTCTGGTACCTATATTATGCAAGACTCAAGATAATTTATAATATAATTTAAGGATGTTAAATTATGTTTGAAATACTATTAACTGAGATTATGTATTTTGTTAAATTGAGAATTTATGACTTTGCTATCCATAAGTTATCAAAGTTCAATACCTACCTCGTATTTAAGCATAATAAGTAATCGGTAAATGATAATAATAGTAAACTTAACAAATCCTCTTGGTTAAAATTAGTCAAGAAATATAATTTATTTTGTTTTATTATAATGGTATGTATTAGATGTTGTATTGTAAAATTCTCTAGAATAATTATTTGGAAAATATCTGAGAATTTTTTTGTTTTTATTCAAACTTTTTTAGTCATTTTTTTTATTCTATTTATTATTATTTTTTGAGAATATTTTTCACTCATAAACACTATATACACTAGTGGTACATAAAAAAAAAATATTTTATAATTTATTTAATAAATGAATAATAATATATAGGCACCCTGAAGTCAGAATATTATCTATGTTAGATATCTATTTTTAAATTACTTTAATTTAGGGATTAAAGTTTGTGGCAATTAAGGGGGTCGGAACAGTGTGGTAGTAGTAGTAGTAGAGTAATAAGTCGTTGCTTAACAAATCCACAATTTGTAATGTGTATAATATGAAATTATTCTTATAAAAAATATCTTAGATATGCAGAGCAGGATATCGGGAAAAATATTACTTGCCTTTACTTGAAGATAGCTGCTCGGCGAGCTCTAGTATTTTCGACCAGTTCCCTTCTTCCCGACATCCGGCCAGGTCGGATTCCACCCTAGTGCTTTTGACGTTTTTACTAGACATAATGTAGTTATTTACGAAAAGCGCTTTACAGACATTCACGCGATAATACTACAACTGAACCGATTGTAGTAATATTACTGTAGATTTGTGTACGACACGATTTTGAGGAGTGATACAAAACACTGAAAATCACAGTCTTCGAAGGATTGCGCAACTAAATAAAGTTCTAATTATTATAATTAAATTCATGCTGTAAACAATAAACTGTAATTAATGCAATTACTTCATAATGCGTATAAGGTATAATATTATAGAGATTCACGGCACAACACAGATAATTCATAATCGTAATCAGCTCAAGGCCGTATACTGGTAAATTCGTATGATCGGTAGGATAAAGGGGTAGTTGTTAGAAAATGATAAAGAAAAATAATGATAAGGATAAATATTAACGGAAAGTGCAATTTCCATAAATAATATAGCTACTATTTATTACTAATGTACTATTATATTAATATGTCTATGGTAACTTCTACCTCTTATTTTTAAATTTATAATATTTGAAGAGGTATTAAATACTACTTTAAATTAAACGTAAAATTGCTACGTCTTGAGGACTTCGGCCATTTCTATTCGTAAGCTCATGTCAGAAATTTAACCCTAGTATCCCACTAATATTATAAACACGACAGTGTTTTTGAATGTTTGTTCTCTTTCAAGGAAAAACTACTGAACGGATTTTACAAAAGGGATCTATTGGTTTAACTCTGGATTTTTTTTCGACTGTAAACAACTTTTCTAGGTACCGGAAATCTCGCTCCGATGTATTGAGTGTGGGTAGCATCTTTTCTGAAAGGTAATTCTCTCTAGTTAGTATATTGGAGAGGTCATTTTTTTTTGATTTTTTTAAAGAGTTTTTGAAATAATTGGGAAATATAGAAGAGAAAATTATAGATTAAACGACAAATATTTACGACGTATCGCGGATATACCATTTTCATTGTTTTTAATTTTTACAACTTATATTTTTACCAGAAATATTGCTCCAATCAAAAAATGACAAAAAATCGATCTTGTTCCCTTTAGTAACTAGCCACTGAGAATAAGTTTTCATAATAATTAGGAAAAACCAAAGACGAAAATTGCAATTTTTTCAAATTACGGTGAAACGATTTCATTATTTAAAATTCTTAAATTTATATTTTTCTACCTAAAACCATTGTCCAATTTTCAAGAAAAATATATTTTCTGAGAGAAAATTTTGCCTTGTGTTTAAGTAACATAGTCGTTTAATTTTCCTAATAATTATAGATAACCGGGAAAAATCTTAGGAAATAGGTACAGCATTTGGTTTTATGTTGTTATTCAATTAAAAATTATTATGCAGACTTGTATTATTAAAAAATAATAAATACTCATATTGGTTTACTAAAAGTAGACGTGGTAAAAATTATCAAAATATTCTAGTTATTTTTAGGTATTTGATATTTACATGTTAGTATGAGTATTTTGATTTGATTGACAGGTACCTGATATTAATATTAAATTATTTAAGAAAAATGCTTGAAAATTTAACGCAAAGTACATTATAAAACATAAATTGTTCTTTGCGGTTTAAAAAACAAATTTGACTTAACATTAGTATTTTTTTCATAAGCGTTTTAAGATAAAATTTAACGAAAATTGTAAAATTATATATATTATTACAGAACCTAAATTCAATCAATCATCAAATCATTTTGATGATAGCTGGACGTATTCCTATTAAAACAACCCAGTATTATTGCACTTAAATTATTGATAAGATGATAATTTCAGAAATTTAGAAGTGCTGACTTGACTGATTCAACTCATTTACAGGCTTCAATTGTCCTAATATAGTATTGGTACAGAATTGCCGAGTCACTGATTTGCGACACACCGATTCAATTCATTCAGATCACAAAAAAGAGTCGACTCACTCATGAACTATACATCCCTATTTATTTTATTAGTCATATAAACCGTTTTTTTTTCACTGTATTGCACATTCCCATCAATAGAACTTTTAAACATAATTGCGATAGCTACGACTCGGCAATCATTCAACGAGGCTACTCCAAATAGCAATTGTTCCAATTGAATAAAATATGTGACATCGCCGTCAGCAGCTGTCGTTTTTCTGCATAGGAAGTCCCGAGTATTATATTTCGCCCTAGCCCTCGCCCGGCATAGATTAAATATACAGTTTATTTAACCAGACCACGGCCTTAAACGAACCAGACAGTAAAAAAAACGGTTCTTATCAGTACTTGCCTACTTGGAATAAACGATACAGTTACCTAATACCCTTACCTTATAGATCAATTATAATTAATTATAATTTATTTTTAGTAGTTGTTACTGATAACTGCAATAACCATTAATTAGGCATACTTAATCAATGCTGCTGCCATAGATCTAATAATATATTTATTAAATGTGACCGGAACGAGCTTCTAGAAAGAGATCAACGAGCAAATTCCTTATTAATTATATTATAATATTTTTCATAAAATAACCTACACACGAGGTAGTGTACATTATTTTATTCTCATTTACATGTTACAACTACACAATAAAAAATATGTGATAACATATTCATGCTGTAAAAATTAATAGGTCAGATGACAATAACGCCAACAATTATTATACTAAGCCAATGGATACAGATGAAATTGTCCGATATGCAGCAAATTATTAATCCACCTGCAGTTAGCTTTTTTAACAAAATTCAGCAATTTCATAGCATGTTTGTGTCAGAATCAGAAATATTAACTGATGAACAGCTGCATAAAATGTATTTATCTTTAGACTCAAATTTAAAAATGCCATATGAACAAGAATCTAACGTTCCTGTTTCATGAAATGAAAATGCAAGCCGTTAGAAATGTTAAAAAACAATTGCGATCTTTTTCAACTAAAAAACTTCATTAAATTACCAGAAGAACAATGATTAAATTATCCGTATATTAAACGTAAAAAAACAAATAATAGATGACTTGAACGAAAAATATGGGTCTCCTGTGGATATGGAAAATAAGACATAAATTATGCTATTTTTATTAGTCAATCTACATTTATATTATTATTATTTTGAAAACAATATTATTTTTTTTTTTTTTATACGTTTGAAGAGTTCTGTGGTATGCATGTTCATGATGATAACATTTTGTCATAAGGTTATTTGATGAAAAATATTAGAATTATAATTGATAATGAATTTGTTCGTGAGCTGTCTCTAGAGTCTAGACGCTCGTATGACTTGCGACTACTATCAATTTGAGAATGTTGAAATATAATATTATATTAACCGTTTATGAGTTTATGATAAGGACCGTTTATTTTATTAGTGATATAAACCTTTTTTTGTACTGTCTGGTTTATGAACATATATACTGTTTGGTTATATGTAATCTATTATAGTGATTATAAGTTGATACGAATATGAAAATAAGGTAAAAGAATAATCAAGGATAAGGAGGTTGTTTTCATGTGATGAACAATATCTGACAATATAATATCATTTTTAATATTTTTTGGATACTGTATAGTTGAACGGTGTTTTGATGTTAGCGGTAAATCATTGTCGATTTATTTTTATCATTCTTGAAGACTTCATCGTACATTGAAAAATGACTATAAATATATAGAGCGATGTTTACTTACATTATTGTATAGAGCAAAATTTCAGTTGGATGAGTTACACAAATATTACGAACAGATTTCAAAGCCGAATATCGAGTAAGTAGATTTTTATTTTCGAATTTTGATAGCTTGCTTATTCCAGGAGTTTATCAAGGGACTTGAAAATGTTTGTTTTTATTTTGTTTTATAGTTTTCTATTTGAAATGTTAGGTAGATATAATTTGTTTGAGAATAATTAAAACGGTTTCTGTTTGGGTAAACTAATCAAAAAGAAAAACATATTATGTATTCAATGACAGTGGTCTATCCAGAATATTATTTTCTTTTTTTTGGAGTGGGGTGTTTTTCTCGAAATGTGTACATAGTACAAGTTGTCCTATGTATACATTGTGAAATTATACAAGAATATTTAATTAACATGTAAGTATGTGATTTCTTATTTATTTATTGAGAGATATTAACAATCAGCCTCGAAATTTATATTTTCTTAAAAACTATTATTTTGAGTAATTAAATTATTGATTAAAATTTACAATACGTAGGCACATAGTTCTTTTTATTAATTATAAATGTATTTTAAGTTTTCTTGTGGACTACGTCAGTAGTCACATTAATTTCACAATGTATGTTCATTAAGGCTAAACCATTTAAACGGTTTTGACCAGTGGAATTTCTTATATAGGTTTTCAAACGACGTAAAGTCAAAAATGATCATTCTCCTGTTGCAGTATCTGTTGAAAAAACTAGGTTTTGATACTGGTAGTGTTATGAAAATTTGTAAAAGTTTTGATATAATCAAATAAATATCTGGATTTGTATTTAAATAACGATCCATGGCATTCATTTTCTCTTCAGTAAATGTTGATGGCTAGTGTAGCAAAATTCTCCATTTAAAATATTATTTATGTTGGAGTCAGTTGGAGTACATTCTTCAGGTATTTCTTGGTATATTTCAACTAATTTTTTAAACATATCTCTTGTTTCTTTGGATATTTTCATTCCTGTTTTTGGTAAAATGCGCTCAAAATTACTCAAAATGGATTTCTGTGTTAAAAACTGGATTTTAATTGATCCAAAAAATAGTTTAAAATGTAATAAAAATTTTCAAATTTTTTGAAACTATATTGCATCTGTGTTGTTGAAGTTTATTTTAACGTGGCAAGCTTCTAGTTATTTCAAATTTTTTATTAATATTATCAATAAAAAAAAATTAATTTTTGAAATTCTTCATCACAAGTTTTTCGAATATGTTGAATTTTTGTTTGAACAGTGGAGGTATCTTCTAGTACAGTTTATAAGTCAATACATTCTTTTTGTATGTAAAAATCAACTTAGAGGGAAACTAGGTAGGAAGATAAAAAAAATAACAGTTTAAATGGGCCAAATGGTGAATTTGTGCACACACAGTTATACCTATAACACTAAATAATAAATAAAGATGTATAAATATAATTTTAATAATAAGTATTAGTCTCAAATATAAGACAGATACCTTCTTTACAAAACGCAAATGAGGAACAATTTTATAAAATTAAATTTTTAAAATTGTTTGCATTAAAAATATTCAATAATATAATATAGATATATAAATCTAAAAACAGAAATTTTTTATCCGTAACAAGTAATTTATTTAATTAAGAGTGTAATAAAAAAAATTCGGGATAGTGGAGGTGTTATAACCCCATATCCATCCTGGATATGCCACTGCTCAAATATTAGTAACAGATTTTAAGCAGTTTCTTTTTTTTAATAATAAAATAGTTATCTAAGCTAAAATCACAAATTAAACTGTTTTATTATGTGATAAAATGTTTTAGATTCACAAATTTTAAGATTTGAGATTCACTAGTAAAAATTCTGATGGAAATCTAACTCACTGAATAATATGTACTTATACTTTGGTATTAAATTATTATATTCATTTGATATTGCAATGAAGCTCTCATATAAATTTGGTTTGATTTTATTGATATTATATAGACTCATTGTCTGTGGCTTTATGTAGGCCATCCTTGTTTGTCCAAATATACAGTATATATAAGTAGAATTACATTTGATATATTTGTTTCTATTTAGTTTAAGTGTATATAATTTTTTAAGTGCCTAAACTTTCAAATAGATGATAAGATTTTTGTGAAATATACAATTTAATAATATTCTTATCATATTGCATATTGATTTAAGCTATGAGTTTTATCTTATTATTTATTTTTAGTAAAATTATTCATACACAGTATTGGGAAATATCTAGGTAAAAATTATTTATCTTTTATCTTATCTAAATAATTGTCAACTCAGTTGTATTCATCTTCATCTAGGTAAAATTCAATAAAATCTGTACACAAAATTGTTTCTATAATCATTTTCCAAAATGCATACTTGAATTTTAAATTCCAACTAGTTTAAAAATACTTCTAACTAGCCTATGTGACTTTTTCGTGACCTAATTTAGATTTATCTAATTTTATTTTTAGTCATTATCACACTTTCTACGCCAACAAAATGAAATTGAAATAAACTAAAACCAAATTTGAATCAAACAAATTATGTCAGTTATCACAAACATATCATTTATCATTCATATAATTATATCTATCATATTGTACTATTCGCTATACAATATTTTTTTTATAAGAAGTGGTGTGACATAATTTAGTCTTCAACTATAGATAGGGAGCGCGTAAAAATCTGGAATGTGCAAATCTCGAAAAATAATTTTTATTTTATTAGAATAAACGCCAAGCGGCTTTTGGAACAATATATGTAGAGTAATAAAAGTTACAACCAAGAACCAAGTTAGACCAAAAACATTGCTGATATGACTATAGTCGTTGGGTGGGTGAGGAAGATTGAGGTAGTAACTTGAAAAGCTGAGAAAACGGTTCTGAACATTGTCTAGATGCCTTATGTCAGAGAATCGAAGTTCGCTGAATGACGCTTTAAAAAATCTAGTACACTGAGGGCTTTGTAAATAACAAAATCAATATGAGGTCGACAATTAAGTGAGGGAACATAGAGGAAGGCCAAAATTCTTAAGTTTGGTAACGCGTATGATGGGGAAAGAGTCAAAACAATAATCAAACTTAATAATTCTCTGGTGAAATGAAAATGTATTACTTCACATTTATTGGTATTTATGGTTATCCCCACCGAATTACACCATCTAACAAATTTGTTTATAGCTTTCTGGAGAAGAAAACAGTCACCAAGAGAAAAGTCAGCCTAGACAATTTTGGCGTCATCAGCAAACGGAAAAATACGACATGGGGTGATTTGTGGGTAAACAGTTTTGATGAAAATATTAAAAAGGAGGGGACCTAAGTGGCTACCTTAAGGAACACCAGAAAGGAATTTAAACTGTTCAGAGAACTTACCGTAGAGATTAACGAACTGCCTGCGATCGTTTAAGTAGGACTTTAACCACGATAAGAGAAGATCGCCAACTCCGAGTTGGTCTAGAAAGAAAATCAAGGTACCGTGGTCGATTGAGTCGAACACTTTCGAGAAGTCTGTGTATATGGCGTCTAGTCGGTATTTAGAATTAAATGAATCATGCAGATAAGAACTAAAGTCGTTAACAGAATTGAAAACTCTGGTTACTTTTGAGCGACTAGGGAAAAAACCATGTTGGTCCTGAGAAAGCGTTAACAGAAGTGACTTCAATACATTTAAGTACGATTGATTCGAATATTTTACCTAAGAATAGGAGAACAGAAACTGGTCGATAGTTGGTAATATCTGCCGGATTCTCTGATTTTAAAATCAGAGTAACGCGACTACATTTTCAAATGGAGAGAAATATCCCTTCAGCAAGTGATTTATTGAAAATAGAAATCGGTGAACTGAGTATGTCACATCACAAAATAATTACTAATACAGTGTCACCAACTTCGAATAAAAAAGAAATTTGAATTTCTATACTCAATTATATATTAAATGCATCCCAATTTTACATATACACTTAATAATAACATCTAATATATATTCTGTTAAAAAAATGATATGATAGCTGTTCTCTGACACTGGTAAGAACTTCTAGGAAGTTAATTTCCCAAGCGTAATTAAGGTAGGGTTAATATGTTGTTTTTTCTTACAATTTTTAAAAGAATAGTTTTGGTCGCGGACGTATATGATTTTGGTACAAAAATTGGTAACACTAGAGTAATAGAAAATTATTTTTCAAGATTTGTACTGTACATTCCAGATTTTATACACGCTCCCGAAAGTCTGGAGGGCAAACAATTAAAAATGGTTTTAAAATAAAGCTTAACTGATTGTACAATATTGAAAAAAAAAAATAAAATCCACTTAAAATCCTCCGAGAAAATTACTGATTCATGTTAAAAGAGACATATTTTGCACAATGGGTGGGACTCTGTTGTATGTGAAAAGTTGGGGAGGTAGGATAGAGAGGAATTTAATTTAAACTATTTCCATTGATTATAGAATAGACTATTCTATAATCAATGTTATTGCTAATGAAAAACGGATTCGGAGCGAAGTTCGGTTATACATGTTTTGAAATACTGTACGATTTTTATGGAAATTTGATAATAAAATTCTTATAGAAAAAAAATACTACATTAAACTAATTTTTTTTTACCACATAGTCGACTTTTAATGAATTTCCTGTAAATTGCCATATATTTTTGTTTAGACTAATAATTTTGTCCACAGAGTCACCTACCGAATACAAATTATGTAAAAAACTCAGAAAATTAAAATGGTACAAATGTTTTAAAAATTTTACCTTGTCTAGAAAAATCAAATATAAGTTTTCGCCTAAATTTCAAGTCTCTAACAAATATTTTGAACTAAATTAAAACGAAAAATAAAAGAATTATTTTTGTAAATTTTCTTGGATTTTTTTTTGCCCAATTATGATGTAAACTACTTGAAAAATAATAAAACTGGTCTCCTTCATGTGCAACTAGTTCTTAAATGAAGCAATGAAGGTCTCTGGTCTTTTTTTGATTGAAGCAAAATTTCATGAAATCATTAGTCCGTAAATATTTGTCAATTTCCTCCTACGCTTTACTTAATTTTTATGAAATCCGTTGAGAAAATCAAAAAATTACCACTCTATAGTAACCAACTAGAATAAACTTTTATAAAATGTGTTACACTTGATACATCGGACTATTGGATCAAGACTTCTGGTAGAAATTCAGTACACTGTGTATGAAAATAAAAAAAATAATCATCATTGTAAAATGATCCCTACTCTTCGAATCTAAAATATGTTTATATAATTTTTTCCAAAATTGTCCAAAAATTTTCTATGGAAAATTCCTGAAATAAATCCTTTAAATAGATTTAAAATGTCTCAAGTTTATTAATTATATTTAAAAATAATAATATTTTATGTACTTTTAACCAGGTACAATATTATCTAACAGCGAAACTTAAAATCAACAAATTACAAGTTTGAAAGAAAAGATATCTAACAAAGTTGATTATAATGATAAAGGCATATTAGACATGTTTTGATGTTGGTTCATTACAGCTAAATAAAATATTGAGTATGTTCTATTTTTAAATTGATGAAAAAATCAGTGTGTCATTTTGTTTATCATATAAAATGACAAAAATATATGTGATTAACTGTCTTACAGAAAGAAACTTGATGCCAAAAATGAATACTTGTCCTACAGTAAGACATGGTATAGTATGTGGAGGTAAGTTGAAGGAATATAAAAAAAAAAGTGGAAAAAAACACAATGGCGTTTTTACAAAAACTACTACTTATTTACGATGTCAAAAATCAAAGTGCCAAACTTATCACTCGTTAAAGAAGATATTGAGCAACAATATATCAAGTAAGTTTTAATGAATATATTATTTTTAATAAATTGTAGTCATAGACTGATTGGAACTCAAGACTGATCCAAGAAAATTATTTTATAACGGACCCATATTTGAGGGGTCAAGTATACCTTGTTTCTGTTTGTTATAGCCTAGAGAAGCAATTTTATTAGGCTAATAAGGGACGGTGAAACTTTATGTATAATTTACCTATAAAAACGACTCCTAAACCTACAAACACTACTTTTTTTTTTTTACCACCAAGTACAACTGATCATGAACCTGTTTCATTTTCCAGCATTTCTGTTTGATCAAACCATTATATCTTACTAAATAAAACTAATAAACAAAAATAGAATACTAATAAATAATTCAAAAATATTTTCAGAATATTTTGAAAATATTATCATGTTTAGAAAATGTCCATATGAGTTTTCTGTCAAAATATTAAGTCTAGTTCTCTATTATAATTTTAAAAGGTAAACCAATTTTATTTGAAAAAATTATATAATGCAATAAGATGACATAGGTTTGAAAAAGTTTTATTTGTTATCCAAAAAACATTTTATAGTTTAGAGGCTTATACAAATGATGCTACAATACCACCAATAATAATAGTATGATGGATAATTTTTTTTTTTTTCGATACTAAATAAAATTGGTTTACTCCCTATGTAAATATGTAATAAATATTAGCTCCTCTATTACCTATTGATAATTATTTAAATCAAAATTTACTCTATTTTAACACAACCTTAAGAATACTACAGGTTTTGTTTTACTTACACAGGGTGTTTCAGAAATTAAAGAGGACATTGATATAAGCTTACTCACTATTCCCAGCCCAATTGACATTCAAAACCTGGGTTTTATCAAATTATTTGCAGAATGTTTTCTTAATTCTACAAATTAATGCTCGAATGAAATTTCTTGTAAAATTTTCATGCGGCTTTTTTCATGTCTGATTTATGAAATTTAAAAAATTGTGTGACACATCAATTTGCATGAGAATTGCTAGATAAACATTAGTGAAATTCATTTGTTGTAATTTATTAATTAACATAATTTTTGCATTGTGTCAGCTAATAATCTAATATTTTCAATTGATGAAATAATAACAATATCCTAGTTAAATGATCAAATTTATTGCCATAAATCTAAGTTATGTATTTTAGATGTAATACCATCCGTCAAACACCAGATTTGTTAGAAATAACTTGGAGTTCATTACATTGCCTTGTAGTAAAGTGCATTGAAGCCAACTGGAGCACATTTGACTATTGTATATAAAAATTGATTTCAAGTGGATTTTATTATTTAAACATTTTGTTAATTAATCAGATATGATAAATGACTACAAATAAATTTCACCACTGTTTATCTAGTAGTTCTCAAGCAAACTGACATCACACAATATTTTTTTAAACTTGCGACACAAAAAAACGCCACATGAGAATTTAACAAGAAATCTGATTCATTCAAGTATTCATTTTTAGAATCAAGATAACATTCAGTTGATAATTTGTTAAAACCAAGGTTTTGAAGATGAAAAAAAATTTCAAATGTCATTGAGCCACCCCAGTGATTACACTCATATCAGTGTCTTCATTAATTTTAAAAAAACCCTATATATGTAAAACAAATAGTCTACGAATATTTTTACCCGAATAAAGAAAAAAAACTAAGTTGAAAATATTAAAGGCAACCCTTATATTGAATTAAATAATTTATTATGTTGAAGGTCACACATTTAATGTCCGTCGGATTTACCATCCGATCGACGTCCAATACATGCTACGACCACTGAACTCTATACATGGAACATGCATTAGACCCCTCAACTTGACCCCCTATTGGACAACAGCTATTTATTGTTTTCGTATATGGAATAAATAATAATTCATAGAAAAATTTACCGGGTGTTGTTATATTTCATGATAATAATGTGCGTATTATAGTGTATTTTAGGAATTACATAGGTATCAAGCCATAGAGTATACTCTATGTATGTACCTATATTAAGACATTACATAATAACATAACCCTAAATTAGATTGATTATTTTACAAAAGTTATTAAAATAAGGCACCTCTTAAATTATAATTTTTTTAATGAGTTCAATTTTGAAAACGATTCCATTTCAGCGAAATTATCTACTGACGTGTTCCACGTTCTTATGACTAGGTTAGTTACGTCCGTTACGAGATGGGGTCACTTTTCCCAAAACCATGGAAGAAAAATTTTAAATGACAAATTACGCCAACCTTAACTAAATTAAACATTTTCAAACGGGAATCTAAAGTTATTAAATGCACAAACATGAAATACATTATGTATTTTGACCTTTTCCTGTTATAATGTTAATACGGTCGTAAATACGGCACCTATAGACCTAACGGGGTAATTCGCTCGCTCGAACTGTTTTAATCGAAAATAACCCTCAATTTGCTCTGCAAAACCACATCGGATTGGTAGGAGTATAGGATAGTACGGTTAAGAGAAGTAATGTTAATTTTCAGAAAATTTAGTTTTCTAAATTGGTGTATCTGATTCAAATTTTGTTATCTTCGGGAAAGTGCCCTATGGCCGTCTGTTGCAACCACGTATTAAGATATATATTAATCAATATTTAATAATCCGTGGTAGCAACATACGTTCTTTCAACGCTAGTGTGATCCTAACCAATTATCGGATGTAAAATACACCAGTTTCAATTAACGTTAACAACTATCATATACATAAACGCTATATTATAATAATCTGTACTCTAATGTGTCGGCAACAAGTTTTATCGATTTTTGAAAAATTTAAAATTGTAACATACATCGACCTCGTTGTTAAGTTTATTTGTTAAATATTTCCTTCTAACTTAAGAGTATACCCGGTGACGGACGAAAACACATCTGTTTTCGCGCATGTGTTCCCACCACTGAACTATATACTATGGAAGGCATATAATGCATATTTTCCATATAAAATTGAGCGGCCCAATTGGCCGCCATTGTGATTCCGTTTCAATTATTTCCGATATCGTACATACCGTGACCAATTTCATTTAGTGGTTTTCGATGTTAGTTTTTGAATTCATATTGTTAATATTATTTTTTATAATCAATGATAAAAAATAATAAAACAAAAAATAAAATTGGTGTGGTATGCCAACTACTTTACACTATGCGCCTGAAGTCAGAAACTATCATCGAAAACCACTAAATGAAGTTAGTCACAATACGTACAATATCGGAAATAATATATGTATGCGCAAACGGGTGTACTATTAAGTTGGACAGGGTATAATCCCGTTTAATTTATTTATATATTTTTAATATTTAAAGTATTCATCTAAAACAAAATTTTTTTATTTGTATATTTTAAACATATTTATGTTTTATATTATTTCAAATAGATGCAATATTACCTAGCAGTGAAGACCAAAGTCAACAAATTATAAAAAGGGAAGAAAATCCATTAAATAGTACAGATATTAATGATGGACACCAGGATTTTGAGAGTTCGCTTTCAGCAGAATTTTCAAATCTTGAAATGAATCATTTAAATAGAATTAAAGTTGATCAAGCTGAAAATCATAATGTAAAAATATTAGAAGATTTCTGCATTAATTCTCAATTAAGATCAAGTAACAGTGAATTGTCTGTTCAAAATCCTAATTTGAATAAGTCAAAAAAAAAAAAGTTGAATAAATCAAAAGAAAATTCATCTTTGAAAATATGTCAAAATCCGAAAAGAAAAATTTCATTTGAAAGTGAAAATAAAATAAAAAAAAATAATAATATTAGATCTTATAATAAAACTGGGAAAATTTCTTTGGGGTTAAATGCTTCTAATAATGTTCCAAGACAAAAGTCACACCTAAAAGTTTCATTTAGTATACCTACAATTTGTAAGGATCAATCTACTAATGATAAAGTATTATACAACAGTACTACAGGACGGTTTTTACAAAATTGTATTTGCCTTCATTTGTCATCTGAAATTGAACAGTGCATTGAATGCACTATCACACTCATGAAAAGTAATTTAACCCAATATGATTATGATAATGTTCAGTGCAGGTTTTATGCTTTTCGTGAGTTGGAATTAAAATCCGAACAATTAACCATTGCAGGATATCCTGATCCGTTTAAAAATGCCAGTATATTAGATCTTGATCTTTGGAAACCTGATCAACACTCATTTATTCCTAGTGATTTAAAAATTCGAGCTTCAATAAAAATTTTAGAAGATGCAGGTGGTCAATTATGCAAAGTTATTCAAGATGAAAAAGAAGCATTAAAATTAAATTTGTCAGGAACACAAAATAGTAAAACGCCAATATGGAAAAAACCTGTGAAAGGTGTAAGAGAATTGTGCGATGTTTGTAAAACAACAATATTCAATTATCACTGGTCCTGTCTTATATGTGGGTTTGTAGTTTGTGTTGATTGTATTAGGAACAAACTCGGAGATAAGAAATCTACAACACAACATGTAGTTTTTAAACAAGATAATCCAGTTTGGTTAGTTTGTTCCAATCGTAAAGAACATCAGCTTGATCAACTTACTCTTACACAAATATTGGCTGGTGATTCCTTAAATTATATTTCAACACTTATGCACAACGTGTGTATTAAATATGAAATACCTTTAAAGTGTAAATGTAGTTGTTGTATACCAAAAATTGCATTACCAGTTATTAATTGTAGTCAATTTGAGACTGAAATTCCTGAAAACATGATACAAGACATTTTTCCAGAAGATTCTGATTGTAAAGATAATTTTTTTCCTTATTATGAAGATAATGCAAATAAAAATTTTGATGGAATTGAATATAATTATAAAAAAGAGTCATTGCCAAAATTAACAAAAATGATTGACACAAATTATGATAGCCCCCCTCATATGTGGCTATGTAATGGACTTTTATTAAATTTATTAGATCCAGACACTGATGCAAATTATGAACTATTTCAGGTATTTATAAAAATATATATTTTATATTATGTTAATATTGTTGTATACAAGTATTATCTCTAAAAAGCTGTACTAGGATAATGGAGACGCGTATGGTTATAGGTAATTTAATAAAAGCAATGATAAACCATTGTTAATGTAAAATGATTCTGAGCAGAGTTCAGTTGATAGTGATGCTTTGTCAACAATATATAACATATATTACAGTAAAATAATTAAATAGCCATTAAATATTTTCTTTAATAATATTTGTTTAATGTTGTACCGATTTTCCTTTGTTTTTTGGGGGGGTTTTTCACATTTGATGAGAAAACTCTAGAGAAAATCAAAAATGACATGTATTTTATTCCTTCCCTGTCAGATTTCCCATCAGAAAATGTGCCATCATTGTAAATCTGAGTATAATTGCTGGTAAAAAAGTTATTCACAGGAAAATAGAAGGCCGTAATATTTTTAACCAATACCTATGTTTCGTACATTTTCCTATTTTTACAATGTTTTTTATGGTTGTTGAGAAAACTCCTGGGAAAACTGATGACCTTAAGTACATCCCCATACTGATTTACTTTCAGAAAAGGTGCTACATTTAAAAATCGGAGCAAGATTTCTGGTAGAAAAGTTGCACACAGATAAAAAATAAATAAATATCTTTGGAAAATCATAATCTTCTTTGCTCCACTCAGAATCTAAAAACCAAAAAAGTGACTTATAATAGTTCAATATGGTAACTTGAATAAATATAGTACAACATATTTTGATATAGGAAACTAAAATACCAACTTTATGGTTGAATACCAAAAAGAATACAGATCATATTATATTAATTTTGGAAGGGTGGATGGAATAGAGATAGTGAGAAATATATTTTAGATTCTCAGTGGAGCGAAGAAGCTTATAGTTTTACAAAGATATTTTTATTTTTTTTTTTTATTTGTGTGCAACTTTTCAATGAGAAGACTTGCTCGGATTTCTATGTGTAGCACTTTTTCTGAAAGGAAATCGGTGTGGGAAGTTACTTTAAGGAGATCATCTTTCCAATTTTTTCCAAGAGCTTTCCCAGCAAATGTGAAAAACCAGGATAAAGCATGGGGAAAATATTAGAAAACTGAGAAAATCAATACAACATTACATTGAACAAATATTATTAAAGAATAAACTTTGTCAACTTCGTTCGACAAAGCATCACTATCAACTGAACTCTGCTCAGACTAGTTTTTTCTTGCAGGTATGTATTAAATTATCTAAACAGTGGCTGCACCCGTCCCCATTATCCTAGGATGTCTCTTTTAGTATGAATAATAATAGAAAATTTAGTTTTTTTCTTAAAATAGTTGAGATATTTTATAAAGGCTTTAAAAATGAATAAAATATTAAATAGAATGTTAAAATATCTGGGTTTATTTAGGAAGTGTGTATTAAACTAAATATTAAAGTATCGAGACCATTATTATTTTATTATCAAATACTATTAAGTATATTATTTTTCAGGAACAATGGATACGTGGGCAACCTGTATTAGTCAGTGGTGTAGGTAAAGGTTTGAATAAATCATTATGGAATCCAGAATCATTTTCTCGAGATTTTGGTGATCAAATAAATGACCTAATAGACTGTAGTACAAACAAAGTCATACACGATCAACCAATGTCAAAATTTTGGGACGGATTTGAAGATGGTTCCAAAAGATTACGTGACAAAGATGGTCGTTCTATGATGTTGAAACTTAAGGATTGGCCACAATCAGAAGACTTTGCCGAAAGATTACCAGACAGATTTAAAAATCTTATGGATTGCTTGCCATTGAAAGAATACACTCATCGAAATGGCAAATTTAACTTGGCTTCTTATTTGCCGGAATGTTTCGTTCGACCAGACTTAGGTCCAAAAATGTACATAGCTTATGGTAATGCAGGCACTACTCATAAACTATTAGGCACCACAAACTTGCATTTAGACATGTCAGATGCCATCAATGTTATGGTTTATGTTGCTATTACGAAGAACTGTAGTGAAAACAATTTTGAGTGGTACGTGAAGGAAGCAATTAACGTGATTGAAGAAGATGAGTGTGATGTATTGTCAAAAAAAAGAGTTTATGTAAATGGAGAAATACCCGGTGCTGTATGGCACATTTATCATGCACAAGATGCAGACTACATTAGGGATCTGTTGCATAAAATAGATATTGAACAAGGAGTTTTAATGGAAGAATGCAGTGACCCGATCCATGATCAATCACATTATCTAGACAAATATCACAGGGACCGCCTGTATAGAGAATATGGAATCAGAGGTTATACAATTATCCAGTGTGCAGGCGATGCGGTGTTTATTCCGGCAGGAGCTCCTCACCAGGTATTTATTAATTTAGTGATAGCAAATTGGAAATGTACAGTTAATGGGGGGGTAAATAGAACCAATTTTAAATTAAAATTTTTATATATTTTACGTATAGACTTAATATTTTAGTGTACAAATGTGCGTTGAATCCAAAAATTGTTACTTTGGGAATCATTTTGTATACAGTATAGATATTATAAAAATCGATCGTGTACAATATGAATTTAAAAGTATCATTTTTTGGACTGAAAGGTATTTTATGTAAATTAGGTAGATACGTTTTTTACTTTATCCTAAAGAGTGGTCCTTATTTTAGATTCTGATTGGAGTGAAGAATGTATTGGTTTAAAAAAATTAATTTTTTCAGGTGGTACTTTATGGAGGGTTTTTTCAATTTTCCTAAGAGTTTTCACATCAAATGTGAAAAATTAAAAAAAAAACAGGAAAAATGGAAAAATGTAGGAAACATATTAGTAAAATATTACAATTTATTTTTTTATGTTGGAGCAATTTTGCTCCAACTTTTAATGATAGCAATTTCACTGAGGAGGTATTTTAGAGAGGTCGTTTTTTGATTTTCTTCGAATTTTTTTTCGGCAAATGTGAAAAACTGGAGAAAAACGTAGAAAACCGGGGAAATCTGTACAATATTAAACAAATCAAAAAATATATATAATGCCTATGCAATTATTTTACCATAATATAACATACATATTGTTAACAAAGCATCACTATGAACTAAACTCTGCTCAGAATCGTTTTTTTCGTTAACAATGGTTTATCGTTGCTTACAGATGTACATTAAATATCATCTGTATCCTACCTTTTCAACCTTTTTTATTTTTTATACTTTATTTGAAAACAATTTTTTATTTTTCTCCCTCACTCTATATACTTTAAATAAGTTTATACTTTTGTTTCTCATTTATAGAATTTTTTCTATGAATTTTTGATATACATAACACTAATATTAGATTTACAGTTTATGAGTTATAAGTTTTAATGGTTTAAAGTTTAAATCAAAGGAGTAGGTAAGAATTATGAATTTACCATTTGAAAATAAATAAACAATTTATTGTCCTTCCCTACTCCTCTGGTCTAAACTTTAAATGGTTACAACCAAGTTATTTATTTAATTAGGGTTGTTCAACACTTTAACTGTAACATATACAATATACTATTTGGAAGATATACATCTCAAAAGACAACTGTTTGTAAACTAAAGAAATAATAAATAAATATCAAAATTATTATGTTTGATTGATCATATTGTATGAAAAATGTGAAAAAATCAAATTTCAATCATAAAAATTGATTTTGATTGAATAAATGGAGTTATAGTCTTTATAATATGTTAAAGATATCTTATTGAGTTAAATGTTAAATTAACAATATATAATTCGTATGTATGTGTTTTAGGTTAGAAATTTACATAATTGTATAAAAGTAGCTGAAGATTTTGTATCTCCAGAGAATATCCATCAATCATTTCGTATGACGCAAGAATTTCGTAACCTTACCGATTATCATACTAATCACGAAGACAAATTACAGCTCAAAAATATCGCGTTTCATGCAGTGAAAGACTCAATTTCGGTTTTAATGCATACTAAAACATAATATAAGTTAGTAGTTAGTTAATTTTGCTACACAGATGGCATATTTATTCCTTTTATTTTTTTTTTTCTTGATTGTTGTCATTTATGACTTGAACTGATAGAGTAGTTTTTATTTGTAATTTTTGTAAATTTATTGTGTTTAATTTATTTTATATCGAAAGTAGAGAATTCTAAGTCTCCTAATTTTTCTAGTATATAGTTTTTTATTATTTTATTGTTATTACTTAACATCTTTACTCTGCAGATTAAAAATACTCATTTCGAAATATTTGAATTTTAATGTTGGTGTTATTATCAGATAAACAATAAAAAAGGGTACAACAACTTAACCAGAAATCTTGCTCTGATGTATCAAGTATAGCACCTTATCTGAAAGGAAATGTTCTCTGGGTGTACTTCAGAGAGGTCATTTTCTAGTTGGTACTATAGGGGCATAATTTTTTTTTGTTTTTCAAGCATTTTTATAATAATTGGTGAAAAACGTGAACTTTACAAAAATAATGTTTTAATATTTAATTTTTCTAGACGAGGTCAAATTTTTAAAACATTTGTGCCATTTTAATTTTGCACGTTTTTTTAAGTAATTTTTATTCAGTAGAAACTCTATGGATAAAATTTTTCAACCAAACAGAAATGCTTGACAATTTAACAGGAGGTTTATGTTTATTATAGGTTATACTTAGCGGTCAAAAAGAAAAAAATTGAGTTTATCATGTAGTATTTTTTTTTATTAAAATTTTGGTGAAAATTGTTAATATTATGGCCTTTAAAATAATTTATAACCAAACTACCCTCAGAATTGTTTTTCATGAGTAATGGTTTTAATTAAAATAATTTATGTATCCTACAATTCCAACTTCTAACCTACAACAATGGCACACTCATCAGCAGTAGATCAAAAAAAAAAAAAAAACAAAGAATAATGTGTAAAACCAATACAAAAAATTTTTATGCCTGAAGCCTAAAATACTACAAAATAATTAAATATAGATATACATTACCTTTAAAAATTTAAATTAAATATAATGTTTTCAAGTTATAATTTTCTTCTAGGCTTGATATTGCTCACCTTATTTTCTCTCTTGGGACTTGAGCCTGATCACAACTCTTTAAAATAGGCTAGGAATAAGGATTATGAAAATATTCGAGAACATCATACTCAAAATACTAGACAAAACACCAATGAAGATTTTTAAATTTGTTGTTAGTCTCATTTGTTCAAATATTTCGTTGCTGAGAAATTCATAAAAAAAATACCCGAGAAACTTTCTGATGTTCTTACATTAATAATTATAAGTAACAATGAATATGATACACTCAATAATTTATTTTCTGAAATAAATATAAGTACTTAAACCAAAACTAATTTTTCATAAATATCTGTTTAATATTAAAATTTAAAAAACACAATTTTTTTATGACAATATAATTTTTGTGTGTTGTAAATGCAATGGGGCGCAATAAAAAATTATGTATTCTTATAGCTGAGAACTTCCTCTACAAAATGCATATATTGGGTATAGGGTAAACTTGAGTACATTTTTACTGCAGTCTAAGAAAAAAAAATTCTTATTTTTTTATTATCTTAAAATGCAACTTAACAATTGGGTATTTCATTTTTTTTCATTTTACAAATTTTAAATAGCCAAAAACATTAATGAATTGTTGGTATTTTTATTTTCAGAATAACAGAAAAAACCAAATTTGTCGTTTACTTAGGTATAACCACAGTTCAAAAAATGTTATGAAACTGAAATTTTGTATTTACTCTAGTAATCATCTATTAATGATAAAAATCTTACAACAATTACATTTTTAATGATATATTTTTGCCACCTAAATTTTATTTTCAGACCACTGTGTGTCACCTAGATTATTAACCAGAAGAAATATTTTTAGATCATCAGCAAACAATAAATAATTACAAAAGAAAAAAAAAAGACTGTCATTCATAAATACTAAAAATTAGTAGTGATAAATGTCACCTTGTGGTATGCCAAAAGATATATTTATGGGTAGAAACATAACATGTTTAATTTTAACTCTGTTTTTTATCAGAGATAAATGAAGACAACCATTAAAGAAGTTTCCAGTGTAGACCATAGTTATTCAATTTTTTTTTATTAACATTGTGGTCCATAGTGTCAAAGGCCTTCTTTATGTCTATATATATGGTATCTACTTGGTGCTATAGTTAGAAACATTATCAATATGATTTGTGTAAAACACTATCAAATTTTTATCAATTGATTTTCACTTTCATAACCCATATTGGTTATTTTATTTTATTTATTGTAAACCGGGTATATACCCATAATAAGTATTGACTAAGATTAAAACACAAATACAAATAAACAATATAGTAATTAATAATATATTTATACATTTAAATCAATAATAATATATACAATTAAATAACAACTAGACTCAATGCAGAATATACATTTTGTTTAAAAATATTACGTAATAGGAAAAAAAGATGCGGAACTGTAGTTATTTTTATAAAATCTTACAAAAAGTAATTTAGATTTTGTCAAACAGCAATTAGGTAAGTATATTTAAATGAATCTTAGAATGTAATTCAGAAGAATCAGTATAACCATTTAATAAATTATATATCAACATAATTTCAGAAACATTTTTCCTTAATTTACAGTAAGAAATCCCAGCTAGAAGATTTGGAGCCTTGAAATAAGCATTTTTATTTATAATATAACTTTAAAAATATATATTGAATATTTTCGATGAAAAATAACTTTGAGACTAAACAACAATTGAGACAAACTCAACATGAGATCTGATAAGAAATATGATATATGATGTTTTAAATGAGTTATTATTTTTAAAATTACTGTATGTATAAATTCTATGATCTTAATTTTTTTTTAATGACAGTCTTAATATGTAATAAAAAAGCTTAAATACATTAAATAACCCCTACTTTAGGTTCCTTATAGAAGTAACACATGCACAATATTTGATCAATACTATAATAACCTAAACCGGCCCTTTTCAGGGCCAGCACTAACAATTTCAACTAATATCAAAGGAATATCACGTAATAAATATTTACTGGCACAATTATGAAAGGAGACTTCATGTGACGTATTATGTGTGCAAAAGACACATAAAAGAACTAAATCGAAAATACCAAAGATAAATGGAATGAAGCAGCAATAAGAGCCCATGAAAAATATGGCAGTGCAATTTTTACTAAACATTCAATAGGATCATATCCTAGGAAATGACAGAAGTAGATGATATAGAAGAAATAATGATTGACCAAGGAAAATGTAGTCATATCTGTGTATTAACCACCAAAAACGACACTCAAATTCCATAAACCAAATAATGTTGCTACAAAAGCGCAAGAGTCCTCGTATGAGTTGGAGATATAATGACGGCCATTCTCTAGAAACCTGGGCACTATTTGAAAAACAGCCTAATCCCTGACCATAAACTACAACCTTCATTCACTAGTAGTAGATGGAAATGCAGATACAACCCCGATCTCATTAATGTAAGGGAGAATATAGTTACCCAACGCTTTAGATCTGCGAAACAATATAGAGTATCCAACATAACAACTATATTATGTGCTATTTCAGCAGCAATTAGCCTTTTAAAAGATTTAATTTCAAGAAAGCTTACTGGGCAGCATTTACATCTAGATGAGAAAAAATAACATTGCAATGTTTTATATTCAATAGAAGGTAATTTTGATGACGCCTGATAACAAATTCGGTAAGACTTTAATGTAAAATTAAAATTTTAGTTTGAGATTTAATAGTGGAAGAAATACAAAATAACAGAATAAAAATATTTACTGAGCTATCAATAAAATATGCCCTAGATAGAAACCTTGGGGTACACCAGAAATAATTATGAAATCATTAGATATATAATAAGACACCTTTACTACCTCCCAACAAAAAGTTAGATAAGAGTGTCCAATTTAAAAAATGACCATAAATATGGTTTAATTTATCAGATGTTTTCTGAAAATCAATATAAACAAAAATTAATTTGTTGAAATTGACATCATGGGTCTGAATGCATGCTGCTTTATATTAATATAGGGTAACACATTGCGATCAAATTTTAGTTAATATTTCTTCAAATATTTTTAAAATAAGAGACATTTTACTAATTGGCCTTAAGATAGTAAGAGGTTTATCACCAGACATGATTTTTATACAAAAACAGGAAAAAAACCACAAACTTACTATGGTTTAGAAAGCCAGTATCATATCAGGGCCTGGAAATGGGTTGAAAAGATTGAATGAATACAAATAAAAATATCTGATAGAGAAAACTACAAGTGCCAACACTCCAGCCCATGAGAGAAGTAAACCATTTCGCGCATGTAGACTGACAATACTGACTATTCAAAAGTATTGTTTCCCTCACTTGGTTCCATTCACTTATGTGCTGTGACGTGTATACATGCACCTAGTTGAACGAGTTTTTATCTGAACACGGTTTATTTCTCTCATGGGCCAAAGTATAAAAATTACTCCATTGTTATCAAAGACATATTCATTAATATTGAGAGGGTAAGAATGGACTAATTTAAAATATTTACTAAACATATTTGCTGTAACACTAGGTTTAATCATGGAGGAAAGGGTCATAAACTTATAAACTAATATTATGAATAGAACCGAAAATGATGTATATTAAATATTTTATAAATGAAACAATTTGTTGTGAGCAGTTAAATCAGTTCCATACCATAATTTGATTTTTACAAGAACTGATTTAAATATTACTTGGGTTTTTTTTCATAAATTATAAAAAAAAATGCTATATATAGTTATGTTCTTGTATTTTAAAGAAAAAAATATTTAATATTCACATAAATTGTTATTTAAGCTGATTTAGAAAAAAGAAAAAATTATAAATACTTGTATTTTAAAATTATATTCATACTTTTAATTACTTTTAATATAATATATTTAAGGAATGCATATAAAAAAAAAAAAAAGAAGAAATAAATGTATAATATGAAAATTAAGCTAACAGTAAAACCCCAAAACAATTAATACACATTAACTTATCAAAAAGATGTACACGCATCTACACATTTTAATTTCTTTGTTAATTTAACGTCTGAGTTTTTTCTGGCGGGGTCCCAATGATCCTAAGAAAAATACAATAAAATTATGAAACTATATTTTAATTTATAAAATAATTTTAACTTACTCATATCTTTGAGATTATTTACGTCTTCAATGTTTTGGCCAATTACTGTTGCAACAACTCTGTTAGCATCTAAAGCAGAAACATGCTTTGGTGGTGTTCTATTCTTTTTTAACGAAGGTAAAATTTTATCAATATCTATGTGCCGTAACAATTCAGGCTGTTTCTCTCTGAGCTCATTCACTATTAATCTAGCTGCGGCTTCAACAGCAGTAGCATGGACTAAATTTTCATCAGTGTATAATGGGCACCTAATATGTTATGTAAAATATTTTATAATACAATGATTTTTTTTTCAGATTAATATGCATAGAACTTACTTATTTTCCATCATATGAGTGTGATAAAAATGTGAGTAATTAGACTCAATAGGTTGCCTGCAAATGTAACACATTTCTTTTCCACAACTACATGTCATTTTGTTACAGCCATCTTCCTTTACAAACTTACGCTTACAATAATAACAAGTTCTATATTAAACAAAAAAAAACAATTAAAATTATTAAAATTTGAATAATATAAAATTAAATTTTGGGTCAATTACCTAATGAGTACTTCGGTCATTTTATCTTCTATCATTGTTCTGATTTTCACTTCAGTTACTTTTTCAACTTCATCGCATTTAAAAGGAAAATGGCTTTCTTCCCGGCATAGTCTACAAATTAATATTATTATACACAATATTATTTTCGATAGAAACTAAGGTATGACAGAAAGTATGATGACATCAATATAAAAAATTCTAAAATAAAGTTTTTGTAAAAATAATACAATAAAAAATATTATAAATGAACAAAAATATAAATTATTCAGTAAATATGTGACCTGCTAGTTTTTTTTTCATAATCAAGATTTTTAAAATCTGATCTATTTACACACATTATCTTGATAATACTCTAGGCGGGTTCAACTCATATTTTTAGTTAAATTTTCCATATATTCAAATTCTGCCGCCACACAAATACTACTCTACTATTCTTCCTCTACCTAAACCTAAAAGTGAAATATCTCGTCAATGGGTTCACGAATATGAAAAATGTTGCACCAAAATGTATTTAAAGTAATACTCAGTTTATTTATAGATTTTTAATATAATTCTCATTTGAAAAAACCAAAATTGGTACCACCGCAGAAATCAGGATACTCCTTTAATGATGTGAAAAATCTTAGTATTTGAAACTATTGGCTTTAAACAATTACACTTAAAAATTTCAAAAATCAGTATTTGAATATATGCAAAATTTAGCCAAAAAAAATAATAAAAATGGGGTGAGCACACTTAGTAAATCACCCTGTATGTATGTTTTTTTATATAAAGTACTATTTGAAGTACTAATTGAACTATTTCACCAATAGGGTTTAACATATATAATATATATGTTACGGGTAAAAGCCGAAATCGGGTAAATCTCAGATCTCCCACCTCGCATATACCACATCTTTATATCATTCTCAAATCATATCCAACCATCTCTCTATCAGTCATCCTTTCATCTATTTTCTCCTAAATTTATTTTCATTACAATTTTTACAGTTTCTCCTCATGACATGACCAAACTATATCTTTCCATTTTTTCTCATTTTATCCACAAAGCCATGGCTAAGCAACCTTTTATTTACTCATTCTCATATTATCTTCTCTCATCACTCCACTCTTAATACTTAAGCATTTTCATCTCTGCTACACTCATACTGTTTTATTTGTATGTCTACCGTCCAACACTAAACAATACAACATAGTCAGTCTCACCATACTTCTGTAGAACTTAAACTTTAAGCCTCATTAGAAATCTCTTGTTACGTAAACACAAAATATTCAGCACTTTTTTGCGCATTTTCAAACTACACATAATCCTATGTTTCACATACTCATGAATGCCACTGTTCTTCTGTACAAAAGATCCTAAGTACTTAAAACTCTCAACCTCGTCTAACCTATAGGCTATAACTGTTTATTGTCGTCTCATTATAGCAAGACAGCTTAACAAGACTACCCTGTTCCTCCATACTCCTACTTATCCATAGTCCCTTCCTTCAAGTGATACTCTCCATTCCTCAAGCTTATTGTTAACATATAACTCTAGATTTTCTCTTAACAAAGCTATTTTTTGCAATGAATCAAACACCATATGATATCTCTTCTCACCTGCTGTCCTCTTGGATCTATCATCAGGTAAGAACAGCAAAGTAAAAAAAATTATAAGACTAACTACTAAATAGAAAATCAAAATGAAAATTAAATAGAAAAAAAAAACTTTTTTCTACACAGGAAGTAAATCAATTTTATTATTAAAGATTGTATAATATAATATGACATAGACTTTAGGAGTTTTAAAAAATATTTTATAGTTTGAAGGTGTAGGTGTTGCCATGATACAAATAATAATAGTATAATAAATATTATTATTTGATTTTAGATGATAAATAAAATTCATTTACTCTTTATGTAAAATAATAGATGTCATAATACATAAAAAAATGTTCTAACAGACCATGAATATCTAACTATATAAATTAAAAATGTATAATAAATATCTGACCTGCAAGTTTCTTTCTTACAATCTTGATTTTGACAATTTATGGTTTTAAAATCGGGAGACAATATTACAGAATAATCACAAAATGCACATGTTTCAAGTCCTTCAATACCAGCATCCTTAATTTCTTGTGCTTGTTTTAGTCTCATAACACGGTCATATAATTTGTCATTTACATTAGCCTAAAAGTATAATGAATAATTAATAATTAAATGGCAAATGTGAAAAAAAAAAAAAAAAAAAAAAAAACACTCACTTTAATAATATCTAAATTAAATTGTTCTGAACAATTAGCAAAGCATTTAAATTCCAATTTTCCTGCGCCTACTGCAACTTCTACACCCCTAAAACAATATGTAATCTAATAAAATAAAAAGCATTAAAAATAATATATATATATGTTAACGGTTATATGTTGAAAATTGGATATCAAATTTTTGTTCAAAAGAATCAATTTTGTACTGTTAGTTTCAATATTAAATGAATTGGCCTATTATGAAACTTAAAAGTAGAAATACTGTCCATGTTTGGAAGTTAGATTTTTTTTTTAAATATATAATCAAGATCAGATGTTTTATATTGTAATATTTAGCATACTCTTATCTTGTTATAAAATCTTGTTATCTTGAATAAAATATATTATGTCATTATGTATTTAAATAGTATACAATTCTTTTGTACTACAAAAATGTAAATATTTACTTTTTAATACATGACGAACAAAAATAATGACCAACTGGGCAGCTATTAATTTCAGAGTCTAGAACTTCATCATTGAAACAACATTGACAAGTATTTAATCTACCAAAAGACTTGGCCTATCAACACAATAAATATTTATTAATCATTATATATATATGAATAATAATAATATATATATAAACTTCATTTTACTTCTTGAACTTTTACTTCATACACAGCTCTTTCAGTTTCAATATGATTTAAAATTTGATCTTTGTGGTCAAGATATGCAATCTAAAACAAAAATATTGATTACCCAATTAACATAAATAAAATATTGAAATATATTTAAACAAATTTGAATGTTTTGTGTTTACTTCTTTTAAATATTCAATATTATTTGGAGCTTTGAAACTGTTGGCAATAGACTTTCTCTTTCTCTTCAAAAATGTTTGATTTGGATTATTTTGCAATGATTCGACTGTGTTTGTTAAATTATGCTTATTGAAAATCAACTCGTTTCTTAATATGACTTTAGAAATCATAGGAAATCTAGTATAAAAAAAATTATTTTTCAATAAAAATTACCATTAAGATTTTTTTGACAAACTTACTTTTCGCATAAATATAAAAGAGATTCCTGCTCATGTGTAGCATTTGGATTAACATTGGCATTTTTAAAATAATTCACTGGTTCAGGGCACATTGATAAAAAATTTTGAACGCTAAAGTCTTCTGTTAGACTTTTAATAATACTTAAGTTCTTAACATGCTCGTTATACTCTTGTAATTTTGGATAGGATTTTTTTTTTGTAGTAACTAGTTCAATGTATTCAAACAAACAATCATGATTATTTGCATACACTTCTCCAACTATATCCAAATAAATAGGGCACGCATCTGGTATTATATCTTTTAGATTGTTTGTTAATAGTATTGCTTCAGGCAATTGACACAGTTTATGAGTGGATAATTTTAACAGAGTATCAGATAGGTTAAACATATCAAATTGAAGAAGTAAAAATAAACGACTTGCATCACTGTGAACATCAAGAGCCTTAATAAGATTCGTTAAATGTTTCTTGTACAACAATTCCCAGCCATAACTAAATATTTTTGGGTGGTTAATACAATCATTATGATTCATGGATTCAGGTAATGTTGTGGCATCAATTAATATGACTTGTTCAGCCTTAAAAAAAAAAAAAAAAAAAATTCAAGACAAATGCAATATTTGTTTGGTTTTTATTTGAAATTACAATCAAAAAAAAATTAAGTACAATATGCACAGGAAATATAATTATTAATAATAGTAATAATAATAAAAATAATAGAAAGGTACTATCTTCTTTTTAGCCATTTAACCTCTCATCAACCTAATCAAATTCTTATCGAATAGACCAAAATATACTAATCTATATATATAAAAAATCCAAATACCACTAACTCACTGATCGCTGTATCTCAAAAACTACTCGACTTATGCACTTGAAATTTTGAATAGTGGTTCCTCTAATACTTTCACCGTGCAACAAGAAAGGATTTTTTAGGTATATTTGGTATGAATTGCTTATTTATTTTTTTTTTATTTAAGGGTTACCTTGATGTTACGGAAAAGAAAACTATTATAAATAGGTATTATTAATATTATTATTAATTGCACTTAAAATTTCACAATATAACACATTTAGTCCGCTGAAGGTGGACTACCCACTTTCCACCTATTTGTTTTCATTCAATTCTGACAAGACCAAAACCAAAAATTAATATGGGTAAAATAATAATAATAAAAATTGGCACGGGCAACACCGGTTGCGGGTGCAGCTATTAATGAATATATGTACCATGAACTTGAAGTAAATAATACCAAAGCTTTGTATTTTAAAAATATCTTAATTACTTTATATAAATACAGGCATGATACTATATCAACCGTCAATTTTTAAATTTAGTAAACTTCAATGAAATTGAAATTGTTTAAACCATACGACTAACCATAGTTATTGATGTTTATATATTTAGTATTTAATGAACTCTTATAATAATCCTCCATCACAAGCTATTAGCTTACAGGAGGTTTGCAAATATTACAAATTATATTATTATATATACTGTATGGTATTTTCTGTATTCTATGTATTAGGGTTATTTGCTAAAAAACATCATTATTATTACTTAGGAAGCGATTTTTCAAATAATTTTATTTACACTATATTAAGATGGGTGATGAAGAATAAGTAAGGAGGGTAGCAGGAATAATAGTCAGATAAATAGGTTTGTGTGAAGAAATTGTTTAGAGATGTCGTAGATAAGTACATTTGTTACGAAATTAAACGTGTTATTTTGTGGTATATAATTTGTTTTATTATAGTTAAACATCCAAGTAATTTAAATAAGAATAATAAGTAAGTAGGTACTAATATTATTAATATATTAACACAATAAATTCACAATAATTATCCTCTAAATCAATGCTTCAGACATAATATTACTTCCATAACAATTGGGTAACCATATATTGCTCAAGCTAAACTATAACTTTTTTTTGTATTAAAATAAAATATGTAGAATATTAACATGATGATTAAATCAAAAAACATAGAAATTAAAAATACAATGAAGATTTAATTGAATTGGGGTAATGCAATTGAGACAATTATTGAATAAACGAATACCTAGGTACCTATATATCAAATATTAATCAGATAATAAACTGAAATATTGTAATAAAAAGGTTAATACCACACCATTTTATCATGAAAATCACTGTTCAATTAGTTATTGTTTTATACAGTGTTTTTAAGCATGATTATCCCATACGTATGGTTAAATTGTGCATATTATATTCAAATTCTGATTTTTTACTACAAACTACTTGGTACTATCAAGTGACCGTGGTGTGAATAACTAGACAAAAGTTATAATATCATAATGATTATTAACTTACCATGGTCGGAACGGATTGAATTATTTTATACTGTTTAAAATAAAACACTAAAAGACTCGGACGATACTGATGGAAACATTTTTAAAAATCGGCAAATGAATTACAACATAGTTCAAGTGTAAAACGAGCCAAGACAATAAGCAAAACTGCAAAAGCCACGGAACGCCAAACAAAAGGATCCCGCTTAACGGTGGCAGGAATGCAATTGTTGAACGACAAAATATGTGAAACAACCACCAGCACTACCACTGTTCTCGGTTCAGTCTAAAACACATGCCATAGTCACACTTGAATAATACATATAGATACTAAAATAGTCCCATTCCAAAATCCAACTGGTAGAGGGGATCATAACTCAGATATATCAACTACAAAAAAAAAAAAAAAAGTACTGCGCCTTCCTCGCTCCCCTGTCCATAACTACAGTCGGGCACAATGTAATAAGCAAAAATTATTGTAGTAGAAAAAATATATTTTCCACACAATGAGTACAAATGAATGTTCTCATTTTCTCATTTTCAAATTACTGTAATATAACATTCTGATAAATTAAATAATTATTAATAACTAATTTCCCTCGTGATCATTTAGTACAGTATTGATTATTGTTGTCCACTTGTCCATTGACTTATGATCAGGTAAAATGAATCTCATTTTATTTATTATAGCAGTGCTTCATGGGGACATAATGGTGCAACTCGCGTGGTTGTTTAAATCACGAAGATCTAGAATATTCTTATTTCTAGTCTTAATGGTTAAAATCATAGACGTAATATTATTTTATATAATTATTAATATTAAGAGTTCTATTATATACCTATATGATTAAATGATTTTATTAAGTTTCTAACGCAAGTTTTTATAAATTTAATTTAAATGAATAGGTAAAACTAGTTAATAACTAAAATAGAATTTAGAACGAGGAATTTATTGGTTTTACAATAATGTTTATGTCACGTCACATGTGTACGTTGTACATGTTGTAATGATGGTAGTATTGATAATGATAATAAACAAAACGGTTTGGTCACTAACCGTCCTCATGAACACAATGCTTCGTCCATTTTGTATGGTATTATTCATAACCTAACTTTGTCAACATAGATAAATAACCTCGTGTGTAATTTAAAAAAAAAAATTGTTTTCTAATATAAATGAAAGTTAAAATGCTCGGTAGGTAGCATGGAACAGTTAGTGCAAGAAGGTAATTTCGGGGAGTGTACCTAAAGATTAGAACAAATTTTGATTCTGAATGATGTCAAAAAATAAAAACAAGTTGTGTCGTTATTGACCTTCATAGGTAGGATTACCTCCAGGTATGTCCGGATTTCGTATTTTCGTCCGGACAATCCGGATTTCAAACATCCGTCCCTACTTGGAAAATGTTATATCATATTGTGTTAGATCTTCGTATTACACTCTGTATAAGTATATTTTATAATTTATATTTATCCCGGGACTTGGTACTTCACCCATTATACATTACTAAATGTAGTCTTACTTTGTTAATTTCTATTCGTGTTATAATTTGTTCACATTATACCTGCCTAGCACTGGATAACGACTCGATAATTTATTCTAAAGAAAATTCCAGTATATTTTTATTACATTATATTATTTGTTTTTTCTCTTTAGGTTATTATTTATTTTCAAAGTGGTGTCCGAATTTGGTCTAAAACATGGTAACCCTATTCATAGAACATGGTGCTTATTTGGTACTTAAGAAAATCATTTATCCTAAAAAGCTGGAATACAATGAGTTGTTAGAAATTCTCAGAACACATTACATACCTGAAGTAAGTGAAATATAAGTTTTACAAAGAAGACCTAAAAGGAGAAAGTATATCGGAATACATTATCAAACTAAAAGCGAAAGATCATAAATGTAAGTTTGGTTCATTTCTGGAAGAGACAAGTTTGTGTTTGGGATAAGAGAAAGCAAGTTAAGGCAATTTTATTAAAAGAAAAAAATTGATATTTGAAAATGATTGTATTACTGCTAGTTGTTGAGAAATGGCAGAGAAAGAGGTTAAAGATAAATCGTTGAACCAATTTTTAATTCTTATAAAAGTGAGTTTAGAAATAGACAGGTTGGTAGAGATTAAAATATTAGAGCCAGTAAAATTTAGTGAATGGGCAAGTCCTATAGTTTTAGTGACGAAACCAGATAGGAGTATAAGAATTTGTATATATTGTAAGGTAACGGTAAACAAAATGATCCAGACTTAACATTGTGCTATACCTAGAGCTGATGAATTGTTTGCTAGTTTAGCAGCCTACAAAATATTCTGTATATTAGACTTAACAAGTGCTTATCACAAATTAAATGTATTAGAAAATTGTAAAGAGTACCTAACAATAAATACATTAAAAGGATTAAATAAATATAAGAAACTACCATTTGGAGTGTCTAGCGCACTTGCAATTTTCCAGATTGTAATAGATCAAATTTTATGTAGATTAAATGTTTATATTTTGGATGATATTTTGATAGGCGTCTGAACAGTGAAAGTATACACAGAGAAATTGGAAGAAGTATTAAGAAGATTAAATAAGATTACAATGTATGCATAAACATTAAAGATGACAATTTTTGGAAAAATTGTTTAATATTTAGGACGTAGTATAAATAAGCATGGAATTAGTCCATTGAAGCAAAAAGTAGAAGCAATTAAGAACGTGAAAGAACCTAAAAACTTGATGGAATTACTAGGATATTTAGGCTTGTTGAATTATTATTTCAGATTTATTTCAAATTTAAGTAGTGAATTTTATGAATTGAATAACTTGTTAAAAAAATAATTTAAGTTTGAGATCTTTATTGATCTGGAACCTGCCGAAATAAATAAAGACATTTTTCAAATTACCTCTTTATTAAAAAACGTACCATTGTACAATGCATAAACTGCCAGGAGTAAGGGCATTCTAAATCATATTGTGCTCACCCTCCAAGATGTGTCAGATGCGCTGCCAATCATTCTACTTCCTCCTGTACAAAAACCAAAGATGAACCACTGACTTCTGCCCTCTGTGGAGGTAATCACACGGATAACTACCGGAGTTGCCAAGTCTACAAAGACCTTCAAAATCTCCATTATGGTAAAAATATTCTAAATAAAAAATATAATTTAAGAAATGATGTAAATTATAGTTCTATTGTAAATAAGGGGGAGGACTACAGTATTAAAACCAACCATAATCCACCCAGTATATGTGACACCTCATCTTTTCCAAAGCTACCCTCAAAATCTCTCTATACCACCACATCAAACATGTTCCCCCGATTGATACTGCAAATCAATCTGAATCTGATATAGCCTCACAACTTTCCTCTTTAATTTCCGAATTCAAATTAATAATAAATCCGCTCATATCACTTCTCACAACTGTAATGAATAAACTTATTAATAATGTCAAATAACAAACCAAATTTAAATTTACTTAAAATATTACTATGGAATGCAAATGGCTTAAAACCACATAAATCCGAATTACTTCATTTATTATTAGAAAATAAATAGACATAGCACTCATACAGAAACCCACTGCAAACTAATTACCAAACTTTTCTTCCCTGGTTTTAAAATTTTTAGAACCGACCATCCTGATAAAACAGCCCACGCTGGAGGGGCTATTATAATATCTTCTAAAATACAACATCAACTACTTCAAATATTCAGCTTCCTACCATCCAATCAACAGCTATTCAAATAACACTAAATTACATCCCTACCAAAATCTCTTCAGTTTATTTTTCTCCACATTCAGCCATAGCCGGAAGGCAACTAAATCATTTTTTAAAATCCCTTGGTCAACATTTCTTTGTGGATGGTAATTTTAACGCAAAGCATTCACAATGGGGCTGTATTTCAGAAAACCAAAGAGGCCAGATGCTCCCAAAAATGATCTAAAACATGCCATACACGTTCATATGTCCAAAAGGCCCAACTTATTGGCCCTAACACCAAGATAGACGCCCAGATATACTCAACATCTTCCTATTATCACTACCTAGTAACATAAAACACTGTCATTAACCTAAATGACCTAAAAAAAGTCCGGATCACATCCCAATCCTTTTAACTATGTTTGTTTCTTTAGAATCAAATCCACCGCATCTATTATTATCTCTAGGCCCAATCAAACGGGACAAGTTTTTTGAAATTATGCAAAATACAACCTACCTTAATGTCTCTCTTAAAAATAAGAAGGATATAAAAAATGCTGCTCAAGATCTTTTAGCTTCAATACAATCTGCCATATTTAAATCTTTATATCCAAAGAATCAATCGCATAAAACTAGCACAAACAATCAATATCTATCTGCAAATATTATAAATTTAATTTTTGAAAAATAGCGAGTGTACTCTATGTGGCAAAAATATCATTATCCATTTGATGAAAAACTGTTTAACCATCTAGCGAACACTTTAAAAAAATTAATATTAAGACACAAATCTGAATATTTTGAAAATAAATACCAATCACTAAACCAAACAGACAATTCTCTTTGGAAAACAACTAAAAATCTACTCAAAATGAAAGAACAACTTCCTCCCTTAACGGACCCAGACGGCTCATTGGCCATCTCTGATATTGAAAAAGCCAATCTATTCGGTAAACATATCGAAAATATTCACGCCACACACTGACATAATACCAAACTCTGAACACTTAGAAACTGTCAAACAATTTATTAACAATACTCTGCCTATGTTATTACCTGCTAAACATACCTCGTCAAATGAAGTTTTATTTTTAATTAAAAAATTGAAAGATGGTAAATCACCAGGTTATGATCTAATTACCAATAAAGTCCTCAAAAATCTTCTTCACAAATCCATTTTACTAATTACTTTCATCTTCAATGCTATGCTAAGATTTTAATATTTCCCACTAATATGGAAACTGTCAACTGTAATACTTATATCAAAACCAAATAAACCAAAGACTAGCCATTTCTTACAGACCAATAAGTTTACTCCCAACTCTAGCTAAACTTTTCAAAAAAATAATAGTTAAAAGAATTAGACCTGTAATGCAAATTAACAAAATTATTCCAAACTCTCAATTTGGTTTCAGAGCAAAATATTCCACTGTATACCAAATTCATAGATTGACAAACGAAATATCATCTTCCTTCAAAATGAAACAATTTTGTCCAGGTGTTTTCTGAACATCGCTGGATGTGACGCAGGGATTTCGATCAGGTGTGGCATGAAGGCCTACTGTTTAAACTCAAACTTTTTTTACCTGCACCATATTATTTAATTATTCACTCATATATCGAAAACCACTCCTATTTAATCCGATATAGAAGCTCTTACTCATCATACTTCTGCATTGAAGCTAGTGTACC